TGAACATTCTTGACATGCTTCAATTCGAAGTGCCGTATAAATTATGTTGTGTACAATACATTAAAGGGACTCTTTTTTTTCTTATTCACAGTTCCATATGAATGCCATGGAAGATCCATACCATGGTGTGGTGAGTATTTTTCTTTACATTGTGATACACAGGAAAATATTGCTTATTGTGAAATGCTTATGACCAAGATAAAAGAAGACCAGTAGTGCCATGGTAGACAACATTTATCGCACAGCTGCATTTGTATTAAATTTATCTTGGACCCTCCACGTAATATTTTTCAGGCAGTTGCCATATATTTAAGAAAAAAATTTAACTTGTGGCTGCTAGATAATTGATTGGTGGCTGCTATTTAAAATATTTTCAACCCTTTGTAGAAATGTTTTAGTCCAGAAGTAAATAAACTAATAAATCATCACTTTCGATACAGTCAAGTAAATTTCAGATATACATGTATAAGGAGGAAATTTTCTGAAAGTATGATATATGCTTTTTTTTCTTCTTTAAATTACAAATCTATTATCAAATACATGTATCTCATTGTACCATGTAACTTATGAGTTATTATCCTCTTTGATTTATTATGTAACTTTCTTTGTTGCAGAGAATGACTTCAGATGCCACTTCAATAGAGAATCCACTTTACCAGGATGTGACGGCTTAACTCCCCAGTATATGATCTCTCCTCATAAATGGCAATAAACAAAATACTCATACAGTGACAATAAACAAAATACTCATACAGTGACAATGAACAAAATACTCAAACAGTGACAATGAACAAAATACTCAAAGTGTGAATACTCAAAAACTTCTTATAACATTGTTTTTCTCTTTGTTATTTTTCCTCATTTGTTATGTTAAAAATATTGTTAAATTGAATAAAAGTTTAAATAAAGTTTGCTTTTAATTAGTGCTTTGAACAGTGTAACAGAATGTTTGACATGGGGAAGAGAATTCTAAATTGAAGTTCATGTTTCAAAGAATATATAGCTTTGACTCTATAAAATGGTACACGTTCATGACCCCTGGATCCAGGCCAAGTTGAGCATATACCGGGGTTAAGGGAAAGAAGGACCTTCAGCTGAAAAAATACTTGTCATTCAATTTTTTTCATATTTTGTATATTTCTAATTTAGTATGACCCACATATCTTAAAGCAGTTATATCATTAGGTTTCTTATTTTAGAGATACTGATTGACAATACTATGCATACAGTGTCCAAAAGGAGTTTTGATTCTCCATATTTCCGGGCCCATTACTCTGTCTATAATGGGATTTTTTAAGCGTAGATAAAAAATATGTCAGTGGACATGTATCTTTTAAAATATTTCAGAGAAAAAATGGGGTTTAAAAGTCGAAAAAACAAGTTTGAACTTTCTTCTATCACACTGCATCTGGGTAGGGAAAATTATGTGCTTTTAAGGACAACTATAAAATCAAAAAACTTAATTTGCAAAAAATTCTATCAAGTCCTTCCTTTCATTGATTAAATGTAAAAATATTGAATGGTGAAGCTGACCTCAATATTGCACAGGAAAAAGTTAAACAAGACATAAGCATGACAAAAATGTGTCATGTTTACTTTTTTTGAGTACGGGAAAACCAATTGACGTCACACGTTAGCTAAATAAGCAATATAAGATATACCTACATAAGGTTTGCATCATCAGCCATGCAAAAATAATTTTTAGCTCACCTCGACGAAGTCGAGATGAGCTTATGCTATACCCCCGGCATCGGCATTAGCGTCGGCGTCCCAGTTAAAGTTTAAGGAGCAAGTTTATTCCTAAGTAATTTTAAGCCCTACCTGGACCAAACTTGCATGGATGATGCATCTAGGGATGGACACTCCCAGACTTGCTTCAGATGCTGGATCTGACCTACATTTTCCAGATGAGTGACCAGGTTAAAGTTTTTGGAGCAGGTCCATTCCCAAGTAACTATAAGCCCTACCTGGACCAAACTTGCATGGATGATGCATCTAGGGATGGACACTCCCAGACTTGCTTCAGATGCTGGATCTGACCTACATTTTCCAGATGAGTGACCAGGTTAAGGTTTTTGGAGCAGGTCCATTCCGAAGTAACTATAAGCCCTACCTGGACCAAACTTGCATGGATGATGCATCTAGGGATGGACACTCCCAGACTTGCTTCAGATGCTGGATCCGACCAACATTTTCCAGATGAGTGACCAGGTTAAAGTTTTTGGAGCAGGTCCATTCCCAATTAACTATAAGCCCTACCTGGACCAAACTTGCATGGATGATGATCTAGGGATGGACACTCCCAGACTTGCTTCAGATGCTGGATCTGAACTTCATTTTCCAGATGAATGACCAGGTCAAAGTTTTTGGAGCAGGTCCATTCCCAAGTAACTATAAGCCCTACCTGGACCAAACTTGCATGGATGATGCATCTAGGGATGGACACTCCCAGACTTGCTTCAGATGCTGGATCTGACCTACATTTTCCAGATGAGTGACCAGGTTAAGGTTTTTGGAGCAGGTCCATTCCCATGTAACTATAAGCCCTACCTGGACCAAACTTGCATGGATGATGCATCTAGGGATGGACACTCCCAGACTTGCTTCAGATGCTGGATCTGACCTTCATTTTCCAGATGAGTGACCAGGTTAAAGATATTTGGAGCAGGTCCATTTCCAAGTAATTACATGTATAAACCCTTCCTGGACCAAACTTGCATGGATGATGATCTAGGGATGGACACTCCCAGACTTGACTTGGATGCTGGATCTGACCTACATTTTCCAGATGAGTGACCAGGTTAAAGTTTTTGGAGCAGGTCCATTCCCAAGTAATTATGAGCCCAACCTCGACTAAACTTGCATGGATGATGCATCTAGGGATGGACACTACCAGACTTGCTTCAGATGCTGGATCTGACCTACATTTTCCAGATGACTGACCAGGTTTTAGTTTTTGGAGCAGGCCCATTCCCAAGTAACTATTAGCCCTACCTGGATCAAACTTGCATGGATTATGCATCTAGGGATGGACACTCCCAGACTTGCTTCAGATGCTGGATCTGACCTACATTTTCCAGATGAGTGACCAGGTTAAAGTTTTTGGAGCAGGCCCATTCCCAAGTAACTATAAGCCCTATCTGGATCAAACTTGCATGGATTATGCATCTAGGGATGGACGATCCCAGACTTGCTTCGGATGCTGGATCTGACGTATATTTTCCAGATGAGTGATCAGGTTAAAGTTTTTGGAGCAGGTCCATTCCCAAGTAACTATAAGCCCTCCCTGGACCAAACTTGCATGGATGATGCATCTAGGGATGGACACTACCAGACTTGCTTCGGATGCTGGATCTGGCCTACATTTTCCAGAGGATTGACCAGGTTAAAGTTTTTGGAACAGGTCATTCCCAAGTAACTATAAGCCCTACCTGAACCAAACTTGCATGGATAATGCATCTAGGGATAGACACAACCAGACTTGCTTCGGATGCTGGATCTGACCTACATTTTCCAAATGAGTAACCATGACAATGTGTTTGGAGTAGGTGTATAATTACATGGCCTGTTATGATTTAACTTGCATAGACGTTGCATTCCAGACCTGCTTCGGATGTAGGAAATGAAAGACAATTTCTTGATTAGTGAACAGTTTAAAGTTTTTGGAACAGCTCATTTCCCAACAAACTATAAGACCTACTTACACAAAACTTGCATGAATATTGTTTTCAGGATGTACACTAACTATAAAGAAAATATGATATAAGATTTGCATTACTTTTACTGATAACATTCGTCGAGGTGAGCTTCTTAATCTTTGATTACCTATGTTTGTGTTTTCCATTTCTCAAAATATCTCATCATATACTGATTATAACCTGTTTTTACATAATAATACTGCCAGTGTATTCACCTAGTATGATCTTGCTTGTACTAACAGATCGTGTATGACGTCAACGACTTATTGGACGTGCAGTATAGGGAAACAGAGGAGTGGAACAACATATTCCATAATTTGTTAAAATTTACAAGAATGTTACATTTTTTTTGTTATTTTTATATTAGATGGTAATTAAAGTAAAACAAATTGTCAAAAATGTATACAAGAACTGATGGTTTTCACTTTTTGCACTTATATCAACGGAGACTATGACGTAGTTAAACAGAGTCGTGACCATGTGTCCTTCATCCCCTTACAAATATTTAAAAAAAAAAAGAAGTCTTTTATCTTGGATGTCTACCACCTGACAGCCAAACTGTTTGCATGATTATTAATGAGAAGTTAACTCTCTACCTATCGAGTCTTTAGATTCCGGTGAGCTGATATATGCATGCTCATCTTCATCTTGAAATAAGCTGTCAGAAAAGCTTAGGCTCAGGTGACCAGGTCCATATATGCTTCATCTCTATTTTTAATACAGATAAATCTCTTGTGAATTAAAAGCTCTGTTAACCACTGGGCCAGAAAAGCTGAAATTTCTTTGGAAGCTTCCTGAGGTAGTGTAGATTCTAAATTGTTCAAATTATGATCCCCAGGGGTAGGGTGGTGCCACAATAAGTACATGTATTACAAGGGGGAAATCTGGTGAAGAACAGCAGGGCAAAAGTTACTCAGGTAAGCGTTGTGGCCCATGGGCCTCTTGTTACAATTAGATCAGTCTGAGGGAGAAGTTGAAAATGTTATTTTACCTGCAGAGGGAGGGAAGGATGGACAGGTAGATAAAGAACCGAAGAGACAGATGGCACCAAACAAACTTTGGAACAGTACAACAGACTGTTTGGCTTATACATGCTTAAAATTAATACAGAAGGGCCCCAAGCATATAATTAAAGAGGCTTAAAATACTTAAAATAACTAAATGAAAGTCAATCAAAATAAAATGAATTCATCTCAATAATTGGGACTTTTGTCAAACAGGAAGTACCGTATAAAATTTAAATAAATAAAGAGATCGTTATTAATGTTTATTAAACAAATAAAAAAAAAAATGCTGCAGTCCTCTGAATAGGTTGCACATTTATTTCTGGGATACAGAGATGATATAATATTAGCACTGTTTTTTTTTTAAATATTTCATAACAAAACATTATAATAAACCCAGATTTAAAAATTCACATTAAATGTAAAAATGAAAAAACAAAACAATGCATGTTACATGTAGCTTGTGATAAACAGAGTATCAATGTCATGTACTTGACTTAAAGAGGCAACTTTTTTAACAAATTAATTTTTGCCAAAATGATATTCACTCAAATACCAGTGTGTGCAATAAAAAGTTAGATATTTACATAAAAAAAAAATTATGATAGCTGCATTCAATAGATCAAAACTGCATCTTTTCTAGAATGCTATGATATGATAATAATGTTTGCATAAGTCCATTCCATTCTTTAATTTTCACTTGCATACCAACCATACATCAATGGAATAGCAGAATAAAACCATGTGTACCGACGCATGAGGTCACATGTACCAAAGATACATTAAACAAAAGTGTTGATTTGACATAGATCACTGAAACAAAATTTACTTCACAAAAAAAGTAAACAAATTCAAAATGCCAACTACATGTGTATCTTATTTACTTTCTTCTCTTCTTTAAAAACCTTTACCATAAAATGAATGATCAAAACATGTTTACTTCATAATACATCCATATTAAAATTTGTTTGTATGAACATGGATATATAGCATATTTTCAGGTCCTGGTCCAAAACATTATATTTACCAATTCCTTGTAAAATTTTAGTTATAACGAACTCTGATTTACTGGTATAGTGAAGTGATTTTGTGTCCCCTAGCGGTTATAAATAATTATAATGAAATTCACAACTTTTTATAACAAATTTTTTTTTTAAGATCCAAAAATGTAGTAATATTAAACTGACATATCTAGCTTTCTCAAGTATTTATTATGGAAATTTTATTACACAGAAAACTTTGTTTTCCAAGATAGGTTTTGTATATAATACTTCTATAACATATTTGTTAGTCATAAGAAGGAAAACAAGTCTATTGTCAATATTCTCTATATACATGTACTTTTACGAATTTGTTATTCAGAAAGAACAAATTCTGGAAAGAACAAAGTAAACCAACAGGTCCCGAGGACTTCACTGTAACCAGATTTACTGTACAGTAATGAAAATGAAATATAAATTATTGCAAAAATTATTAATGTTATAGAAAAAAATAAATCACACAATTGGTTAACAAAAACAGAATGAAAGCAAGACTTTGATTTCTATCAAATATGAAATCATTAACCTCTGAAGTTCAAAATTATAACCAAGGTTTGAGTTTTAATGCGAAGATCAAAATACAAGTCTGTAAACCATGTTTTAATGGACTAAGAACAATATTTCATATCACAATATTTTTAGATGGTGGCTATTTATAGCCACAGGCTATTGCTGCTGCTTTTGGGCTATAAATATTAACAGTGTAAAATCACGGGGACCCTAGCGGTGATTTTTGCAGAGTCAAAATAATGAATAAAGGGTTGATTCGATGTTTGAAAATAAAAATGCACATAGTTAACAAATACTCTCAAGTTATTTTAAAGACATTTTGTTGATGGGCACAAAGCTTAATTCCTGACATTTGCCATTATCGATATTTCTCGCTTCATGAATATTCATTAAATTACGCTGATCTACAACTAATTCGTACACAGACCGACTCGTATATTCGTATGCAAACTACAGAAGTCACACGGCTTTTTTTAAAGTTGTGTTAATGTAAAATTTAAAATAATATTTATTAATTGTCAGAATATTTAAGCCTTAGGGAAAAATATTTGAGAATAATGGTTTCACATTTTAACTTTGAAATCAAATAATTATATATAATTGCTAAACACTCGCACGGTGGTTGTATGCGACAAACAGTAATTACGAGACGTTCTGATACCCCCTAATTATGAGATACTCCATGCTAGGAAAGCGTCGATCTCCAATTCCAAAAGTACAATATGATTCGAGGACTGCACATTCCTTGTTCCAAAATTGCATGTTTTATTTGAACCGTGGAATTTTTATACAATAAAACTTTTGTTCAGTGGGCTTAATTTAGGTCTGTCTTCCCCTACGTGTGTTCACAAATTAAATTTCGTATTGCACAATGACTAGCAGCAATAAGCAAGGTCAGTGCATATTAAGATTACGTATGATAAATAGCATCGTCACAAACCACAGCCAAAATATACGATCTTCTCCCATTCTGAAGAGAGCTATATGCGGACTCCGAACCGTGGCTTGAGTCGATGGAAAAATAGAGGCTGACAAATATTTTGTTTTTCTGTTCTTCTTTTTTTTCTTTTCAAACAGTATATATCAAACAAAGAAGTAAGACTTCTATACAATTCTTGGAGTCTTTCAAGCTTTTAGAAATAAGTTAATTATGCCAGGGAATTTGGCAAAGATGGGAATCCAAGGTTAAAGTCTATTTCATTATCTTTCAGCATATGATTTATGTCACACAATCTACAGTACATGGCCAAAAGTGATTCATCATTTCCCTTTTTACCATATACTTTATGAAAAGTAAGTTTTTGTTAAAAAATTTTGTGGGTTCAATTCTACTCAAAATTTCAAGAACTTTTCCAATAAGTTATGAAAAATTGTTCATATTTCCTTTTTTTGGGGGGGAGGGGATGCAAAATTTGATTATTGATCACTGCATGAGTAAAAATGTTCGGTCAATACATGAGTATATTAGGAACCTTGATTCCCTTATGATTTAACATTTAGGGTAAACTGGATTTGAGCAGACACGTTTTAAGCATTAATTTATGGGGGAAATACTAAAACATCCCAAAATCCATTATTTGAATATATAATTACAATCTGTTCATCATCCTTGAATATGTTTTCAATTTTAAATTTGCAATTATGACTGTACACCACAATAGAACATATAGAAAAAAACTGAAATGATTGAAGTTTCGTTTCTGGCATTTTGGGATAGTTTTTTTTATTCAATTCTTATTTTATAATAAACCTAATGTAGAAATACAATAAATTAACAACTCCAATTAATACATGTCCTTGCTCATTATACTTCGGAAATATAAATTTACTTATTAAATTTACTTATTAAAAAACATGTATCGTGAAAAATTGCAATAAACTTTCATAATTTCCATCAGATCATTTTACAGATTCTTATAATATTTTATCTCATTCAATGCCAGTTGCCATGTGGCACAGTGGTTAGAGTTTGCTCTAGAGTCACGAACACTAAGGAGTTGATCCTTACGTAGCGGGTTCGAATCCCACTGCAGGACGTGGAGACAGTTAAACCGAAGTCCCATGTCGCAGTAAGTGCTGGTCAAAAAAAGATCCCTCACTACTCAATGCCTGGAGTGCTGAATATAGATCTAAATTTGCAGCCCACCAACGGCAATAGTGATGTCTCAATATGAATGAAAAATTCTCTCGAGGGACGTTAAACAAACAAAATCATTCATGCCACCGTCTATCAGTACTTACAGTACTTTGATTCTAATTATATATTTTATGTAATATATATTTTTTTTTTGGGGGGGGGGGGGATTTACATCTTGTATCATCACTAAAATAAATTGACTTTATCATAATTGGAAACAACAAATATCGTGTCAACACATAACAGAAGATAAATCTCTATAAAACAAAACAAGAATCATCAATACACTCTGTATAGAATACAACAAATAACTTTATATACAAATTTGTATACATTACTTTAGCTATCAAAAAACTGCCTATACAATCATCCTTAATCATTATTGAAATGCTACGAAAGATAATGCTGCTAGATTTCTGATGTTGACTGTCTCACAGGCATAATGACAAATGAACATCTATACATTATCATTTCCTGGATAATGTTTCCTTTTCTTCTAGAAAAATAAACTCATTATATTAACAACTTATATTGCACCATAAAATTTGGGAATGTCACTTGGTCCCCAAACAAAGAGATCTGTATCAGTTCAATGTTTTTTTTTTATTCCATGTTGTTTCCAAGAATTTCCTGTAATTTTCTGAAAAATAAAAATAGAGAGAATGTCAGAAGTCTTTCTGAAATCATAACAATATAAACCTGAATCGATATAAATCTGAGCCAATACGCATCATCGGAATCAATAAAATCTGAATCAATTTAAATTGGTCTGAATTAACTTTAATTTAACATTAAAATATTAACAAATTTCAAATATTTTTTTTTTCTGTATCCCCAATCAAGTGTGTATTCTCTGCTTTATAATGTATATAGTGTAATGGTTACAAGTTTAAATCACCAATATGCATCAAGTACATGAACCAAGCTTCAATATTAATGTTCCACAACAAATTTTGTTTAAGTGCACTAAAATATACGTCTCTCCTTTTAAATCAATTCAAAGGTGAAGGTCATACAGGGGACATGATGTATAAGCCCATCCTGTTACTGTGACAGGCAAATGTCATATATCATTAACCCAGTGAATCAAAAGATCAAATAGTTCTAGCCCAAACATTTTTTCCAGCAAATAATTGAATTTTCCTGTCAAATGTCAAGGTCACATGTGGGTCATGATAATTCCCTAATTTTGACCTTCACATGACCTTAATAACAGGACCTTAATTGATTCAAAATAAAACATCTTTAGCGTAATGCATATGGTTAACAACACGTACATTGTACATTAAAACATGGATACAGCAAAACATGCTTGAAATGAATTAATGCATATAGTGAAGTGATTTTTCATTCCTTCTGGTTTTTAAACATATCATGAACTTAATTACCAGATACAATGAATTATGTTTATATTATGTTTATAACAAATCAAAAGTTGTCATCTCTGGCACTTCCCTATATTAAGCGTGTTTTACTGCAGTTTAATAAACGTGGAAATTTTGAATTGACAAGATCTATAACATTATTTTAACACTTGACTGATCCATATCTCAGACCTTTGAGATATGATCAGACCTTTGAGATATGATCTTAAGGTCCTCACATACCATAAAGTATAGGGCACATTAATATATACTCAAGACATTGTTGCTTCAAAATCGTAATATGCCTATAAATTACAAGCAACAATACACGAAAGTCTGTATACATTCCAGTTCAAATTTATGACCCAGACATGATTTATCAACAGAAAACCATAAAAGTCAATGTTTTTCTTCTCCAATTTGGGTAAACAAAAAAAGGACATAAGATTAAGAAATATATAAGGAGACATACTATTTACATGTACTTACAAACATTGAACAAAAATCTGTGAAAATGGTGGTCTCTTGACTGGTTCCCACTCCCAGCACTTCATCATCAGTCCGTATACCTCCTCGTGACACCCTGCAGGTTTCTGAAGACGTGCACCTTTTTGTAAGTAGTAGTATGACAGCTTGCGTAACTCCTCCCTGTTTACGTCACAGAGTCGGGGGATCTCCCCTTGGCTGAAACACTCCCACAAGACGACCCCAAAACTCCATACGTCTGTCTTAGAAGAATACTTGGTTTTATCTATTACTTCTGGGGCACACCTTCATGAAAAAAAGACAGATGTGTAAATATTATTAATGTTAAAACTCAGTTTGAAATATACATGTTCTAATCCTGTTTTATATAATTGCCAACAAAATTAATCATGCATTTGCCATGTGCACATGTTCGACACATAGAGAATATTTACCAAGAAAAGAAGTGTCCAAGAAAACAGTTTTAAAACATCCAAGTACTTACCATTGCAGAGGTAGAACATTTTGTCCTTTTCTGGTGTAATAGTCCTTATCCGTAGTCATGAGTTTGGATAGTCCAAAATCAGCAATCTTAGCCATAAAGTCCTTAGTCAGGAGAATATTTCTTGCTGCTAGGTCACAATGAAACACCTTGACGTCACTAAGATACTCCATCCCCTTAAAAATATCAGGTTCCGATAAATACATGTAAATATGCTAAAGTTTCAATTGAAAGAAAATCTTTTTATTTATTGTGAATGAAATAAAAATTCCAATTTAAAATGGGCCATTGTCAAAAAGAAAAAAAATCCAGAAGTTATTGAGGAGAACTAGCTCTACTGGTTTCAATTCACAATAGTCAATAGTCTAAAAGTTGCACCTGAATGGACTTTTTTTTATATTGAGTTGTACATTTACAGAAATAATTTTTTTGTATATCTAGATTTTTTTTCTTAACATGTACAATAACGATGTTTTATTCAAGGCAAGGCCAGATTTTGTTAAAAACAGACAAAAAACTGTAGAAGGAAGAGCATTCTTTGAGAATTTCATGGAATATTTACTTAATTTTCAGTAATACCATTCATTGAAATAAAAAAGTCATAAATTCAAGAAAGTATAAAAGTTTATGTAGTCTACCTGTGTAATAAGTCTTACTGAAATCAAATACAAGAGGCCCATGGGCCACATCGCTCACCTGAGCACTGTAGCAAGGAAAAAAGCAAAAATCAGTTCAGTATTAAAAAGATTACATGTAAATGCATAAGTGGTCCTGACCTACCCCTAAAAGGGGGGGGGGTATGATTTGAAAAAAAAAATTGAATCTACACTAACTAAGGATGCTTACATATTTCTTTGAATATCTGTGGTTTTTTTCCTACAAGTTTAAACTTTCATTGTGGTCCCACCCTACCCCTGGGGGTCATGATTTGAACAAACTTGAATCTACACCACCTGAGTAGTTTCCATATAAATATGACCAATCATAGCTTTGCTGTTCTTGAGAAGAAGATTTATAAAGACTTTTCCTATATACTCCTATGTTAAACTTTGATCGCCCATTGTGGCCCCACCCTATCCCCAGGGGTCATGATTTGAACAAACTTGAATCTATATCACCTGAGGTTGCTTTCACATAAATATGACCAATCATGGCTTTGCTGTCCTTGAGAAGAAGATTTTTAAAGATCTTTCCTATAAATTCGTATTTAACACTTTGATCTTCCATTTTGGCCGCACCCTACCCCCGGGGTCATGAATTGAACAAACTTGAATCTATGCTACCTGATGATGATTCCACATGAGTTTCATCTTTCCTTGCCCATTGTTTCTTGAGGAGAAGATTTTTAAAATTTTTTCACTATTTTGTAATTATCTCCCCTTAGAAGAGGGCGTTGCCCTTGATTTGAATAACTTGAATCCCCTTCACCTAAGGATAGTCTGTGCCAAGTTTGGTTAAAATTGGCCCAGTGGTTTTGGAGAAGAAGATTAAATTCTGAAAAGTTAACGATGATGACAACAACAATGACGACAGACAACAGACAAATTTTGATTAGAAAAGCTCACTTGAGCCTTCGGCTCAGGTGAGCTAAACAAGAGGCCCAAGGGCCTTGAATGGCTCTTCTGATAAACTGTACAACCTATCACTTCTATTTGAAGCCTCTAAGTATCCTGTATATTTAGATAAAGCCTTGAAATTCCAAAGGTAGGTTATCATGAGCTACATTTTAGATGAAACACTCTGAGAACCCAAGATGATTCTAAGCCAATTAGTATCTGAGAGTAGGTCATGGTGACCTACTTATCACTTGTCATTCTCTGAGGACTAAAGATGCATCAACTAAGTTTAATGATTCTAAGCCAATTAATACCTAAAATATTTTAAAATTATAACCATAAAATTTCAAAAGTAGGTCACAGTGACCTACTTTTCAGATGACATACTTTGAGGACCCAAGATGCATCAACTGACGGATTTTGATGATTCTAAGCCAATAAGTACCTGATATATTTAAATAAAGCCATAAAATTTCAAAAATAGGTCACAGTGACCTCCTTTTCAGTGGACTAACTCTGCAGAACCAAGATGCATCAACTGACAAAGTTTTGATGATTCTAAGCCAATAAGTAGCCGAAATATTTAATTATAGTCATATGAATTGAAAAGTAGGTCACGGTGACCTACTTTTCAGTCGACCTACTTCAAGGACCCAAGATATATCAACTGACAAATTTTGATGATTCTAAGCCAAATAGTACCCCAAAAACATTAAATACAGCCATAAAATTTTAAAAGTAGGTCATGGTGACCTACTTTTCAGTTGTTGTACTCCAAGCACCCAAGATACATCAACTGACAAAGTTTGATGATTCTAGGCCAATAAGTACCTGAATTATTTAATTAAAGCCATAAATTTTCAAAAGTAGGTCACGGTGACCTACTTTTCAGTCGACCTACTCCAAGGACCCAAGATATATCAACTGACAAATTTTGATGATTCTAAGCCAAATAGTACCCGAAAACATTAAATACAGCCATAAAATTTCAAAAGTATGTCACGGTGACCTACTTTTCAGTTGTTGTACTTCGAGGACCCAAGATGCATCAACTGACAAAGTTTGATGATTCTAAGCCAATTAGTACCCAAAATATTTAATTATAGTCATATAAATTGAAAAGTCGGTCACGGTGACCTACTTTTCAGTTGAGGTTTTTCGAGGACCCAAGTTGCATCAACTTACAAAGTTTTATGATCATAGGGCTTAAAATGTCCAAATTATGCTTCTAAAAGGCTTTGAAATCGAATGCCTGCAAAGTTCAAAAAGTAGGTCAATGTTACCTACTTTTTAATAAATATGTTTTATCTTTCCAAGATGCATCATCTTACAAGATTTAATGATTCTAAACCTCTCAGTATACGAATTAATGATCTTAATTGTTTTGAAAAAGATTAGCCATTAAATTCAAAAAGTAGGTCAAGGTGACCTACTTTTTAGTCGACGTACTCTGAGGAACCAAGATACATCAACTGACAAAGTTTGATGATCATAGGCCTTAAACTGTTCAAAATATGCCTCTAAATCATTTTAAAAAAGAATGGCCACAAATTTTAAATTTTAAAAAGTAGGTCACCATGACCTACTTTTGAGTCAACATGATATGATGTCCTTAGATGCATCAACTGACAAGATTTGATGATCCTAGTCCTTATAGTAAGCAAAATATCAACATTTTAATAAAATGTAATTTTTGGTCAAATTTGAAGTGACCTTGAGACCACGCCCTTTGCCCCAGGGTGATGCCTTGAACAATTTTTAATTTACAACATATCCTCAACCTTTTGTGTAAGTTTGGTGATAATCTGCCCAGTGGTTCTTGAGAAGAAGATTTTTTAGCAACCAGTACTTTTGTTTCTATTTTCCTAATTATCTCCCCTTGTTTAAGGGTCACAACCCTAGTTTTAGTATAAACGGAAGCCCTTGGGCCAAGGATACCCTGTGACAAATTTGACAATAACTGACCAAGGGGCTCTTGAGTTATGGACCATATACTAAAGAGTTTATGCACACCACACAAATGGCCATAGCATTAGCTCTTTGAGCCTTTGGCTCAGAAGAGCTAAAAACTGTAGAAGACAAAGCATTTTGCAGAATTGTTTACAGACAGCTAGACAGACAACAGGACAGATGACAGACACTTTACTACTGCATAAGCTCTTCTAAATCAGTAAAGCTAAAAATTATTTAAAAAAAAAAAAATTGACAATTCTAATCCATAACATACAGTGCTCCTCTTTATTTTGACTCAATGTAATCTTATTCCTTAAAAATAACTAAAAGTGTGTCCAAATATTTTTGGTCCAAGGCCACTCTTTGAACAGACAAAAATTTTCACTATTGTAGTGACAAAGACAAAGCCCTTCATTAAGAACAAAAAACAAAAATTCAAAAACGTGTTACCCTAGTGATATCTATTGCTATGGCGATCAGTCTGCAGTCTGGTACGCGACACTTTTTCCTGCGGTTCTCCTCTAGATAACTTCTCAGTGAGCCATTCTCTATATACTCCATGATCATCATAAGCTCTGTTCAAATTTATAACCAAATTGTATAAGTATAATGTTTTAGTGACATAAACTTTTTATGTTGCAAACTTTTTTATGATGCATTACATGATTGCCACATAGCATTAAAGTTGACCCCTAATCCTGTTCAAAATGGAAAAAAAAATATTGTTAAAATAACCATACTGACATATTTTAATTATCAAAATACATGAATAACACAGTATATATTTTAACACATACTAAAAGTAGTTGTTCATTAAGATGGTGACCATCTCAAAAGGCCTGATTTTAGTAAATATAACAAGAAGTCTGTGAGCCAATGCTCACTAATAATACCCCCGCTCTGATGTGAATACACAAGTTCGGTTATGGACAAACACAGTGATAATCAGGAAATTGACATCGGATTTGTAAAAACTGAATCCCAACATATGGCATGCCTAAACAAAGATTGTGCTAAAATTTCAAGCATCTACGATGAGTAGTTGCTGAGAAAACTACAACTAAAATTTGCTATGTATGGTACGGACAGACGCACGGATAAACAGGAAGTTAACACTGGATTTGTACAAAAATGAATCCCACCATATGGCATGCCTAAACAAAGAGTGTGTTGAAATTTCAAGCACCTGTGATGAGTAGTTGCTGAGAAAATTGCGACCAAAGTTTGTTATGTGTGGTACGGACAGATGCACGGACGGACAGACGGATAAACAGGAAGTTGACATCGGATTAGTACAAAAATGAATTCCACCATATGGCATGCCTAAACAAAGATTGTGCTAAAATTTGAAGCATCTGCGATGAGTAGTTGCTGAGAAAACCACGACCAAAGTTTGTTATGTGTGGTATGGACAGACGCACGGATAAACAGGAAGTTGACATCGGATTAGTACAAAAATGAATCCCACCATATGGCATGCCTAAACAAAGATTGTACTAAAATTTGAAGCATCTGCGATGAGTAGTTGCTGAGAAAACCACGACCAAAATTTTTTATGTATGGAACGGACAGACGCACGGATAAACAGGAAGTTGACATCGGATTCGTACAAAAATGAATACCACCATATGGCATGCCTAAACAAAGATTGTGCTAAAATTTCAAGCATCTGCAATGAGTAGTTCCTGAGAAAACTGCGACCAAAATTTGTTACGGACAGACAGACAGACAGACGGACAGACAGACAGACACACAAGGGTAAAACAGTATACCCCCCTCTCCTTCGGAGCGGGGGTATAACAATGTATGGGCAACAGGATTTTACAGGACTATAACTGCATGGGAAGAACTTTTTGTACTCCAAAAAGTTTTGTTTAAGGAGAAACATTTTCTATTTGTAATTTCTAATTAAAAAAAAGTAAATAAATATAAAAATAAATATTGTGATAATATAATAATATAATTGAAAAAAAAAATCAATGCTCTCTGAGGTTTACCAAGAATCTTTCTTTTCCTTGACCTTTGACTTTGTAATATCAATCACCAAAGGTTCTTTCTGGGTGAATTTTAAGCAAAATTGATCAAAGTTAACAAAAGGCTCATGGACCACAACACTCACCTGATAAACTATGGTCCTTCTTGTTCATCAGCAGATTCCTTTTCCTGTATTCCTATGTAAATTTTGATCACCCATTGTAGCTAGCCCCACCCTATCACCGGGGTTCATAATTTGAATCTTGAATCTACACTACCCTTGGATGCTTTTTTATAAATTTTATGTATCATGACTTTGATGTTCCTGGGAAAAAGATTATTTAAAGATTCCTATGTAAAACTTTGATTGCCCATTGTGGCCATACCTTATCTACGGGGGTCATGATTTGAACAAATTTGAATATATACACTACCTGTGGATGCTTCCATATAAGTAAGACTGATTATGGCTTTGCTGTCCTTGAGAAGACTTCTACAGATTTTTTCTATGTATTTCTATGTAAAACTTTGATTGTCCATGGTGGCCCCACCTTTTCATTGGGTCAGATTTGAACAAACTTGAATCTACATTACCTATGAATGCTTCCATAAAAATATGACTGATCATGGCTTTGCTCATTTTGAGAAGATTTTTTCAAATTTTCCCTGCTTATACCCAAGCATGTAAAACTTATACCCATAGTGGTCACACCCTACTCCAGGGGTCATGAATTGAACAAACTGCAAATGACACTATCTGAGGATGCTTCCATATAAATATGACTGATCAGAGCTTTGCTGTTCTTGAAAAGAAGATCTTAAAAGACTTTTTCCCTATTCATACCCATGTAAAATTTTGATCATCCACTGTATCCCACCCTTCCCCTGGGGGTAATGATTTGAACAAACTTGAATCTACACTACCTGGGAATGCTTCTTAATAAATATGATTAGTCACACCTGTTCTATTTTTGATAAAATTTTAAAGATTTTTCCTATTCATACCCATGTATAATATTGATTGCCCATTGTGGCCCCATCCCACCTCCAGGGGTCATGATTTTAACAAACTTGAATCTATACTACCTTTATATGCTTCCCCATAAATATGACTGATCAAGACTTTGCTGTTCTTGAGAAGAAGATTTTAAAGATTTTTCCTATATATACCATTGTAAAACTTTGACTGCCCCTAGTGCCCCCACACTCTCGGGGGGGGGGGGGGGGGGGGGGGGGGGGTTTCATGATTTTAACAAACTTGAATCTACACTACCTATATATGCTTCCCCATAAATATGACTGATCAAGGCTTTGCTGTTCTTGAGAAGAAGATTTTTAAAGAATTTTCCTATATATACCCTTGTAAAACTCTGACTGCCCCTAGTGGCCCCACACTCTCCTTGGGGGTCATGATTTGAACAAACTTGAATCTACACTACCTATATATGCCTCCCCATAAATATGACTGATCAAGGCTTTGCTGTTCTTGAGAAGAAGATTTTAAATTTTAAAGAATTTTCCTAGATATACCTTGTAAAACTTTGCCCCTAGTGGCCCCACACTCTCCTGGGGGGGGGGGGGGGGGGGAGTCATGATTTGAACAAACTTGAATCTACACTTTGTCAGGAAGCCTTCACATCATAAGTTTTATCTTTTCTGGCCCACTGGTTCTTGAGAAAAAGATTTTTAGATGACCCAACCCAATTTTTATTTTTTCTTAATCATCTCTCCTTAGAAGAGGAAGTGGTCCTTCATTTGAAACAAACTTGAATTCCCTTTATCCAAGGATACTCTGTGCCAAGTTTGGTTGAAATTGGTCCAGTGGTTCTGGTGAAAATGAAATTGTAAAAACTTTACAATGACAATGATGACAACGACAGACAATGGAAAAATTTTGATCGGAAAAACTCACTTAAACCTTTAGCTCAGGTGAGCTAAAAAAGAATATACACTCTAGTCAAGGATTTTAACAAAATTGTTCTACATTGACCTTGACCTTTTGTCTAAAATATAAAAGTAAGGAAAATAATTGGCAATATGCAACCTAGAAGCATGTGATAATTCTTTTATGACCAGCATCAAGCTTCTGCAATTTATCACCTCAAAAAATACCAAAACACTGTTGCATACTTATTGTTTACAGTAACTGCCCTTCGTGTATGGATACTTAATGACCTACCTCATCCATGATGTAAGTATATATTCTCATGAAAAAGTAACGACTTAAATTTAAGGTTGTAGTACCATTAAGTTTCATATCAACACTAATTACAATTCACCTGGTTTTTTAGTGAAGCCGTAGAATTTGACTATATGAGGATGGTCCAGTGTTCCTAAGACGTCTACTTCCTTCACCATGTCTTTCTCTATGGTTGCTGAAATTGTGGCCTTGAATACCTTAGCGGCCACCATTATGTTTTCCTTGCCTTTCTTGTAAGTGCCCCTTTTGACAAATCCAAAATGTCCCTGCAACAAGAGGAATGAAATTAGTTTACAGTAAAAGACCAGAAAAACACATGATGCCAAAGGACTTAGAATGGTTAGCACCAAAATCAGCCCTGTCTCTATATTTGAGCATTATTTTTTTTTCAGACAGGCATGCTATGTGTTCTAAATCATTCTATTTTTTTTTTTGAAATTATCATAAAGCACTTTTCCTTCAATTTGAAAGATCTCTAAATATCTCGAGTTTTCTTTAGAAATTAATGCTACTGATGTAATGACATCACACCGTTTTATCCAAATTTTAAACAGTGCATTAACAAAGGTAGATTAATAATAAAACATAGGTAATCAGAGATTACAGAGCTCACCTCAACCATTGTTGTCTTTAAGTAAGTCCCACACTAAACTAATAATCTAGTAGTGTGCATCCCTAGATGCAACATTTATGCAAATTTGGTCTGATATGGCTTGCTGCTTGGGAATGGACTTGTCTAAAAACTTAAAACTAGTCACTCATCCAGAAAATGTAAGTCAAATTCAGCATCTGAAGCAAGTTTGAGAGTGTTCGTCCCTTGATGCATCATCCATGCAAGTTTGGTTCAGATAGGCCTTATAGTTACATGTACTTGGAAATGAGATCTGCTCCAAAAACTTTAACCTGGTCACTCATCCAGAATATGTAGGTCAGGTCCAGCATCCGAAGCAAGTCCAGTAGTGTGCATCCTTAGATGTATCATCCATGCAAGTTTGGTCAACATAGGGCTTATAGTTACTTGGAAATGAGATCTGCTCCAAAAACTTTAACCTGGTCATTCATCCAGAAAATATGTCAGATCCAGCATCTGAAGCAAGTCCAGTAGTGTGCATCCTTAGATGTATCATCCATGCAAGTTTGGTCAATATAGGGCATATAGTTACTTGGAAATGAAACCTGCTCCAAAAGCTTTAACCTGCACCAAAAACTTTAACCTGCTCCAAAAACATTAACCTGGTCATTCTTTAGCTGAAATTGCAGCATCTGAAACCTTGACTGGTACAATGAAACACACTAGAAGCATCCTCCATGCATCTCTGATTGATATAGGGCATAGAAGTACCTGAGAAGAAAACTGCTCCAAAAACTTTAACCTGGGATGCCGAGGGTGTTACATAAGCTCCCCCAACTTCGTTGAGGTGAGCTAAAAATGACTACATTCTGTAAGGGACTATAATTTGAGAGAACATTTTATGAGGGGCATTTGAAAAGTTCTGAGAACTGTTTGATAAAATATTAACCGTTTCACGGAAGTTTATAAATTTGATACCATTGAAAAGAGCTGGAAAATTCGCACTTATTTCGATGTCACTTTCTTGTTTTATGATGTAATAACTCCGAAAATGACGTCAGAATCTTGATTGTTTAGCATACTGAGAAGTCGCGTTTCTTGTCCACGAGAAGATCGGAAAAGTGCTGTCAAAGGCCTCTTTGAAAAGATAATTTCAAGTAAAATTTATATGGAGGTAGAGCAACACTGAGAGAATGGTACTGTTTATCAGCAATTCCAAATTTCATTTCATGGTTGGTTTATAAGCACTGTTTATGTACGGTTATGCTATCATAGGCATTCATTTAAGATTTTTATTTACATAATACAGCTGGACTTTCGGTCTATTATATAGCTCTCCACTGTATTAAACAAAACATGGTCTGTATAAAACTGAAGTGTATCAATGCAGTTTTCCACAAATGAATCATGAGTAACATGACTCTTACCTTTTAGGAATAAAACGTACAAAAGTCCTCCCCGGGACCTGTTTCTGTGCGTATTTTTTTCATATTATTTCAACTTTGGCTCTCCAAAACTCACTACTGGTTTCGACTTTCGGCTCAAAAAAATGAATCTGAGTTTCATTGCCATATACAATCTTATTTATTTTCCATGAGTTAAAATTTTCGAATATATTGAGTTACGGTGGGGTTACAACTATGCCGGTGCCATTTTGGTTTTTACTAGAAAATATAGGGTACTCTTAACTTAACGTCTCTTGAGATTTAATCGTTCCCACAAAATTGGTTAAAACACCTGACGAATTAATGCCAGCAAATTTTGTAACACCGTCCACAATTCTCCTTTGATTTTCAACTTTGTCATTTTCTCACAGCTAGGTCTTTTTTACGCAATATTCTGAGCGAGATTCGTTAAAACCTGTGATGTTTGACACACGCTTAAACCCCCTCAGAACTATAGGATCTCCTAAATAAAACGTCATATGATAGACTGTAGTCTATGTAAACATTCTCTCAACTGGCAGTTGTGACAGTTGGCATGCATCCGAGCAATGAGCAAAAGTTGACTTTAAAATTTTAATTCACTGAAATTTTGTCTCTTGTTACGTCATTTTTATGGTCAGTATGCGAAACACATGGAATTCTGATGTCGTTTTCGGAGTTATTATGTCATAAAAATTGCAAAGTGACATCACAATATGTGTATATTTTTCTGATCTTTCCAATGATATCAAACTCAATAATTTCCGCTAAATGGTTAATAATTTATCAAATAGTTCTCAGAACTTTTCAAATGCCCCTCGTATACTCATAAAATTTTCGTCTCAATGCAAGCAGAATTTTCAACTTGTACATTTTTTTTACAAGAAGTGAAAACAAAGAAAATGCACAAAAAAAAATCAGCTTTGAGTAATCTCTGACCTGAAAATTAGGTTCAAAATTATATATTTTAAACATGCATTCTGTGGGAGAAGTATTAGCTAAACAGGGATAAGGGAGACAAAATATTCCAGACAAGGATTTGGGAGACCTTATTTATTATTATACCAATCAGTTTTAAAAAATAAAATGTTTTGAACTTCTAAGATCATTATTATTGACAATGTGCAGATATTTGTTGCATGTCATCTCAGATGGAAATAATAAAACCTGGCCATTCTCTTGAAGTTGATGAAATTGGAAAAAAAAAGATATCTGCATATTCAAGATACTGAAGTTTAAATACATGTACAAAAAGAATAAGGGATTGGGACTTCCAGCTTGCTTCAAGATATCCATGGTATTTGAAATATTGTTGTTTTAGTTATTCATGTTCAACTACTGGTATATACATGTATATAAGTAATATGGCATTTCAGTTACAGATTGGAACATATTCAAATCTACCAATCAGGCTTAAAGGGACCCCTGTTGATTTAAAATAATACTTAAAAAAAAAATCTGCAAGTAATGTGTACTGTACACAAAAAATGTTTGCATGGGTTAAATTTTGGCCAAAGTTTCCTATAGTTAGAAATCTTCAGTATCTAAGTTTACATTATACCAATCTAGTTCATATACCTTTCCAATGACTTCATCATCCAGTTGAATATTATTTGTGTTAATCATGTATTTTATATCTTCTGATGGCAGATAAGCTGGACGGGATGGTGTAACACTTGGATTCACGGGGAAAGTTTGCCTGTCTGTCTGTCTGGAGTCTGAGAGATGCGGGGGAGGGTCGTGATCTGTGGGGTCAGGGTCCGGGGATGTGGGTTCTATTGGAACTGTCGGAACAGGTGGGAGAGGCTCTGAAAGAGAAGAGAGAAAGAATTCAAATTTATATAAAATTTCTACAAATCTTATCACTAAACTCACTTGATCCTTGTTTATGAAATGCAGTAAACCCAAGTTTTTAACAAGTCAATAAGCAGAGATTAAAAAGTTATAGTTTACTCGTGTTACCTTGGTGATGAGGGGATCTGTCTGTTTCTTCCTTTGGTTCTGGGTAAAGTTCAGTGAATTCTCTGTTTAAAAAAACCCCCAAAGATTCAAAGCATTATAAAGTCATGCTGACAAAACAATACTTTATGAACATTCAGGAAAAGATTTGCTCTTTATTTCAGCTGAGGTCCTCTCTTACCTGCACTTTTGACATGCCAGGTTGAAATCAGGTCTGTCATCAGGGTTAAATTCCCAGCATTTTTCCATAAATTTGTACACCACCTCTGGGCAGTGGGTGGTTCTTCTGAGGCGTTTTCCCTCCACCAGCTTCTGGTAACCCTCTTTGGAGAAATTTTGGCACAAAACAGGTGCTTTGGCATGAGTGAACACCTCCCAGATCAGGATGCCATAGCTCCAAACATCACCTTTTGTTGTGAATTTTCTACTTGCAATACTTTCTGGTGAACACCTGAATTAAAAATGCTAAAAACTTAAATATACATGTCAACATTACAATTATCAATCTTTAATATACATGTTTAACAAGCAAAACACAAGACTTATTAATTTCATAAAAATGATTAAATAGCAATAATAAATATCAAAGATCTTTTTTAAATTAATTCTTATCAAACATAATGCTACATCAGTAAACAATTAACTAATCTCTTCCACCACAATTTTAACTAGAAAATTTTAACTAGAAAATTCTTACTGGTTGTATAATACTATAGATCGCCAAATACTCAACCTTATACATTTATTTAGACCTTATTTTCACGAGATTATCATTTGGTATTTATAAGCAACACTTAATTCTAATGAGTCAGACTTTGATTTTGTTCTATATATAAATCTTTACAAATAAACGCAAGAATGAGTTTTGCAACCAGGATGGTCACGTGTAACTACGCGAAAGTAAAGTTCTTGCAAATAAAAAGTGATTAACAATAACGTCTAAAAACTGAGGAAATCAAAACCCATAATAAAATTGTTTTTGAGCAAGGGCACTGGAGGAGGGAAATGCAAAATGATAATTGTCAAATTATTTTACTGTATATGTACTGTGGAATCATCATTGTTCGTGGGGGGCTAATGTTCATGGATTTTGTGGGTCATGCTTACCCATGAATTTACATCCCCACCAACATTTATTCTGTAAACATATTGATTCATTGAATCTACTGTATGAATGAGTAATCCTCAAAATTATGTCCCCACGAACAAGTAAAATTTTGCTTGCCCATGAACATTGACCCCCGTGAATTTAAATGACGTTCCACAGTACTTGTACATGTCCAATGGGCCTCTATCCACACAATATTCTTTTCTGATTTGAACTATGTCTCATTTTAAATGAAAGTGTGTACTACTTAATATACTGACCACATCAGAGGAAGCTCTTTGCCTGTAGATCTCCTATAGTAATCTTTGTCTTGCTGTAGGATCTTTGCCAGACCAAAGTCTGTGATTTTAGCCACTAAGTTGTTTGTCAGGAGGACATTTCTTCCTGCCAGGTCACAATGAATCACCCTCTTACTAGCCAAGTAAGCCATTCCCTACAACACAAAGGTTCTTATCAATACCATACATACCCAAATAAGAGTGCAACTGACAACTAGGTACCAGTCCTGTTACTGGCCAAGTAAGCCATTCCCTACAACACACACAGGTTCTTATCAATACCATACATACCCCAGTAAGAGTACATATCTGTGATAGCTAGGTGCTGTTACTGGCCAAGTAAGCCATTCCCTTCATAGCAATACCATACATACCCCAGTATATGTGATAGTTAAAATGTTAAAGATAAACAGGGGGGGGGGGTACAATACTGTTACAATTTTTTCACCCTCTTCCATATGAATTAAGTCTGACAGAGGGTGCTTGCCTGTTGATTGTGATGACATACCTGAGCAACATCGTTAATCATTCTGATTAGCCTCCATTCTGGAAGGTAGGTATTCTGTTTCCGGAATTTTCTCAGATACATGTTTAAGGCACCATTTTCTATGTACTCCAGAATCAACACTATAGCATAAGAAAAAAGCCACAGTATGACTTAGGTAAAGAGATCTAATCATTTGAAAAAAAAAATACATATTTCAGCTGTTCATAAAGTATTTTCTTGGGCTTCACAAGTGTAAATCAAATTTGATTCTTAAGTTTGGAGGTAATTTCAAACTGATCTTGTCACAAAGGAAATGCTTGTCAATAACAGAGATACCTGTATGTCTTGTCATACAGTTGATACCTAAAAATTACAGTCATTTCAGTTAAACATACATACAGTCAAACCTCATTATCTCCAACTCAGTGGGACCAAGTAAAAACTTTCAAGATATTTGGGTATTCAAAATACTGAGGTTAAAATACATAAAATAAAAAAAACAGTTAGGACTTCCAACTTACTTTGCAATATCCTAGGGGTGATCAAAAAGTCTATGGACTGGCAGGATTAAATTGTTATGTGAGATATATATTTCAAATTTTCCCCACTTTATAATAATGCCACTATAAACATAATTTCAATGATTATCTCAGTTGATAATTAATAATAAAAATACAGTCAAACCTTGTTATCTCAAACTCAATGGGACTGCATGAGAAAAAACTTCAAGACATCCAAGGGTTTGAGATATTGAGGATAAAATACTTTAAAAACATGTGGTAAGGACTTCCCAATCACTTTGACATATCCATGGTATTCGAGATATCCATGTCCAGATACCAAAGTTCAATTGTACTGACTATTCTAATACTTGTGTTTTGCATACCCAACACAACCTCAAATATGTTTGGTAACTTGAAGTAAACAAACTACATGTACATGTACCCAGTAAACATTTTGCACAAAAAAATCATTTTCTATTTAATTTTCATGAAAAAATACATATTTAAATAAACAAACAAAAGTGTATTCAAAAGTTTTAAAATTTGATGGCATTTCTAGCATTTTTAAGGATTTTACAGAAATTACTTTTAGTAAAGTTGAAATTTGTTGAAAAATGACGCCAGAGAGCATAGTGTATTCCTGCAATATCATACAGTATTGTATGAAACTGAAAATCTTCAATGGTAACATTAAAGTGTCAAAAGCAGCAGTGGTATTTTAGTGGCATAAGTGGTTCAGAGACAGATGGGAAAAATGATTCACGCTCAGAATTCCAGAAAGTTGTGATGGTGAAAAGTAATATCTGTCTTGTGAAGGAGAAGATTTCCCACACCTTGTGATTTTGCCCTCTTTTCCCAGAATAAAAGGAAATCTCAGTGAAGTTTAAAGCAATCTTAGATTAGCAGTAAAAGCATTCATTTCATTCTATTAGCTGGAATGTTTAAAAGCTTTATTAGTATGTGGGAAAACCAATACCAGAGATTTATCTAATCAAATAAGGAAAATTTGAAAAAAATAAAAATTAACAAGAGGCCCAGGGGCCATATTGCTCACCTGAGCACTGTGGCTAGGAAATAAGCAAAAATCAGTTTAGTATTGAAAAGCTTTAATGCATAAGTAGTCTCGACCTACCCCTAAAAGGGGGGATGATTTGAACAAAATTGAATGTACACTAACTAAGGATGCTTACCTATTTTTCTGACTGTGACTTTTTTTCCTACAAGTTTGAACTTTCATTGTGGCCCCACCCTACCCCTTGGGGTCATGATTTGAATAAACTTGAATCTACACTATCTGAGGATGCTTCCATATAAATATGACCAATCATGGCTTTGCTGTTCTTGAGAAGAAGGTTTTTAAGGCAGAAGATTTTTAAGGATTTTCCCTATATATTCCTATGTAAAACTTTGATTGTCCATTGTTGCCCCACCCTACCCCCGGGGGTCATGATTTGAACAAACTTGAATCTACACCAGCTGAGGATGCTCCCATATAAATATGACCAATCTTGGCTTTCCTGCTCTTGAGAAGGAGATTTTTTAAGATTTTTCCTATATACTCCTATATTAAACTTTGATCATCCATTGTGGCTCCACCCTACCCCCAGGGGTCATGATTTGAACAAACTTGAATCTACTCCACCTGAGGATGCTTCCATATAATTATGACTAATTTTAGCTCTGCTGTTCTTGAGAAGAAGATTTTTAAAGATTTTTCCTATATATTCCTACATGTATGTAAAACTTTGGTTGAAATTGGCCCAGTAGTTCTGGAGAAGAAGATGAAATTGTGAAAAGTTTACAACGACAATGACAATGACAGACAACAGAAAAATTTCATTAAGAAAAGCTCACTCGAGCCTTCGGTTCAGGCGAGTTATAAATCCATGAAAATTGAATAAATAATGATAATTTATTATTCCAGATCATGATTTTTTTTATCATAATCATTCCAATAAATGGAGTACGTACTGTTGTCACTGATTCCGAGGAATTTAACCACATTATCGTGCTCCAGTTTGGACATCAATATGGCCTCCTCCTTGAATTCTGTGCTGTCCAGAACATTCTGGAAATCCCCCTTCAGTTCTTTAGCAGCAATTTCCTGAGGATTGGATTTATCATCCTGACTAGTGTACAGTAAACCCCGCTTAACAACCCCATAGTGGCCCTGAAATACAGTAAAAATCTGCTTAACCACACCATAGTGGCCCTGAAATACAGTAAAACCTGTTTAACCACACCACAGTGACTGTGAAATACAGTAAAACCTGCTTAACCACACCATAGTGGCCCTTAAATATGGTAAACCTGCTTAACCACACCATAAAGGCCCTGAAATAAGTGAACCTCACTTAACCGCACCATAATGGCCCAGAAATACAGTAAAAAACCACTTAATCTTATGTAAGTGTCCCTGAATTACAGTAAGCACCATTTATTCACACCAGAGTTTCCCTGAATTATAGTCAACACCACTTAATCACACAAGAGTTTCCTCGAATTACAGTAAGCAACACTTAAGTAAGCACCACTTTATCACACGAAAGTGTCCCTGAAATAAAGTGAACACCACCTAATCAAACCATAAAAATGTCCCTAAAAATAAAGTAAACCTCGCTTTACCATACCATAGTGTCCCTGAAATACAGTTAACCTTACTTAACCAGACCATAATGGCCCAGAAATACAGGAAAACCTCACTAAACCACACCATAGTGGCCCAGAAATACAGTAAACCTCACTTAACCACACCATAGTGGCCCAGTAATACAGTTAACCTATCTACATCTAACCTCATATTGTGTCACTGAAATACAGTTAACCTTCCTTTACCACACCATAGTGACAATGAAATGTACTGGTCTGTAGAAATTTGGATTTATCAGGAAGCTTTCTCTAACTTGACAACTTTGGGATTTTTTACTGTTTACAAACTGTTCAAATATATGAAATAAGGTTTGAAACACAATGAGTCTACATATAGGTTTGCAATTTTTAAAGTTAGGGCATCTTACTTTGCTGCATTAAAGATAAGGAATTGAAGAAAAATGCAAATTTGTTTCTTAACACCTTGAAAGTTAAAATCTTGTAAAACTGGATTACTACCTAAAGCAAAGATAGCCAAGACAAGGTCATTCATTTTGATGACATGAAAACTAAAACTAACACACATCTCCTAGTTTTATTTCCTTTTTCTTTGAAATGTGTACACTCCAATTTTACCTCTGACCTTGAACAACTATGAAACTGTTCTTTGCAATAGTTTAGTTCTATACATATATAGTTCTGTCATTTTTGTGGGTATACCTTTCAGATAAAACTCACTGCTTTGATATTATCTTCTATGTTATTGTTAGGTTATAAACTTCTGTGTAATTTTCTGAGGGTAACTTTCCTAGGAATACTCACAGCTCCGATCTTATTTTCCCGAATGTTGAGTCTGCGAGAGCTTATGATATACTTGAGATCTAGAGGAAGTTCTGGAAGTGATCGATTTATGACAGAGTCAGTAGCCTTGGTCACTGACTCCCGGTCAGTAGCTGACGGATTTGGCAGGATAATCATGGTTGGATCCAGGGTGTCTTCTGTGGGTGACAGAGAGTTAGAGGGTGCTCGGGGCTGGGATTCTGTAAGATGACATAAATGTAGGCTTGTAAAATGACAGTCTGCAGAAGGAATTGAATTTTCATGAACATGTTTCATTAATTTCATAAATCAACATTAATAGGGAAGAGGGTAGCATGACATTCCATTGAGGAAAACACTTATCAGATATTTTAAAAACCCAATCTGAACTAGAACTGTCCAAAAGGGACAAATACCCCCCGCTGGGTTTTTCAGAGAAAGTACCAAATCACTAATGTTTTCTAGATGTGAGAGGTGTTCACAATTTCCTTAAACATTTACAGTGAAAATTTAATTACTCATTATATATTTTTATACGTCCGTCTTACGACGGGACGTATTATGTTATAGCGTTCATGTTTGTCCGTCCGTTAGCTTTTTCATGTCCGGCTCACAACTTTAATACTATTAGGCCTAGAATTATCAAACTTTGTCAGCGGATACATCTAGGGTAGAAGGTGTGTCGCACATTAAAACCAGGTCGCTCTGACCTTTAATAAAGACGCTATGGCCAGATATGGAAAAATCATAACTAGAAAACCATTAGACTTAGAATCAAAAAACTATGTCTTTTAACTTTTAAATTACACAGTCCCAAAAGATGTCAGAGTATTGCAGTATCTTTATTAAAAAAGTGTTAAATCAAGAAAATACTAGTCTTATTTTTTTTCATTATGTTCTTTACAGCAATCTGTAACAACAAAAATTCCACTTCTCCCATGGGTGTAATGATCAGGCACTGGTCAAGGAAAATTTTGATAGCAGAAAATTGCATGTCAAATTAGAGAGAAATTAATGAGTTTTGTGTGAGGAGATAACTGGTAGAGCATCTCTGATCAAGCAGGTGTTATCTACATCTCTTGGGAATTGGGCAAAAGGAATCAGTCTCTTAATTAATTGCTTGTGTTGTATTGAATTGTTCTTGTTGGCTAGTCTTACTTTCAAGATAAATTTGATGTAATTAAAACTAATTTGATACTGTATATAATAATTAAAAGTTATATGATATTGTATAATATAATTTAAACTAATTATTTATTGTACATTTTTTATTTGAATTTTTATATCTTTACAACAAATTGCAGACTGCCTTGTCTCGCTAAGATGTCATTCAAACAATTGAATCTAAACTGTTTATGATAATTTAACAATATTTGATGGGCGTATCATGCTGTGGTGAGGCACTTTATTTAATGAATGAAACTAAGGTGCAGCCTAATAAAACATCAACACTAATAATTACAGTGTTTTTTATTACATTGAAAAAATAGTTTGCAACTATCTGCCATCTTTGTGAGACATGACACTCTGCAAATTGATTGTTGAAAAAAAGAATATCATAATTAATTATAGAAAATCAAATTGATTTTAATACCTTTATATCAAACTCATTTTAAAAATAAAAGGCTGGTTTTAGTAACTATGTATTTGACAGACATAAATTACAAGTAAGAGACTTAGACAACAGAGATCTTTATTTCTTTCTGCCCAATTCCCCTGAGATATAGATAAGACCTGCTTGATCAGAGATGCCCTAACAGCTTCCCACACTGAACTCATTAATTAATCTTTAACTGGATGCATGTCCACTCATTACTCCCAAGGGACAAATGGATTTACACTATCTGCTGTGTAATGTAAAAACTGTTTTTAATACTTTGTGGGTTTTTTTTAGTTCTAATGAGTAGTTTTAAGCTGTAGTTCACATTTTTGTACAGATGTTCTAGATTCTATGTCTCAAACCTTAGAGATGAACCCGAAATGACTAAGTCAATAAATTAAATTAAAAAAAACACCTGTAAAATGCAGAAAAATTATCAAATAATGTTGAAAATACCAGGTGCACATCTTCATATGGTAAATAATAAGTGTACAAATTTTCATACAAATCTATGCAATAGTCTCTGGGAACAGATCCAGACAAAACCACATAATAAAAATGAAAAAAACACCTGTAAAATGCAAAATGATTATCCAATCATAATGAAAATACCAGGTGCACACCTTCATATGGTGAATAATAAGTGTACAAATTTTCAGACAAATCCTTCCAACAGTTTCCAAGAAATGGTCCGGACAAACTCTCGTCTACAGACAGACGGACAGACGGACAGACAGACGGACAGACAGACGGACATGCTGATTCCAATATACCCCCCCTAAACTTCGTTTGCGGGGGGTATAAACAATGTAACACCAAAAGCTATACAGTACCTGTATGTTCACAATTATTGTGTAAAAAACACAAAACCTTACACCACCTCCCAGTAAAAATCCTGGATCCACCCTCTTGTAACAGAATCACTGTGATTTGTGCAGAAGTGGTGAATAATTATGTCCCTTGACTGTAGCATGGGTGGTAAATAGTTTGCATACATTTTGAGATCAATATTCTACACAGTGTAACAAGACAACTTCTTCCTGTACATACCCTGTGTACTACTGATGATATCCGGAACATTGCTGCCTTCTCTAGACATTTTAGGTAAGTTGTCTTCATCATGAAGAAGCTCTCTTCTGATGGAGGAATATGCAGGCTCCGCTAAAATGAATGACAAATGTGTGTTACCTCTCTTATTACAGTAAAGCATGGTAATAACAAATAGGCTTATCATGTCGAATTCATGCTTACAGGGAAGTGATTTTCATTCCCTATACTTTTAAACCATGTTATACATTTATTGACTGGGTTCGAGGGCAACATGTGTTTTGTCAAACCTATGAACCAAACTGTTTGCCTGAGGCCATGAGGCCGAATGCAAACAGTTTGGTATCAAGGGGTCAACAAACTGCATTTAATTTGCCCAAGAATACAGTCAATGAATGCACCTGGCACTTAGTATGAGTGTTTTATACTTCTATTTAACATATTTATATACCCAACATATGTCTACATAAACAATGTATAAGCCTTAGACCTGTTAATGTTTTGTCAAAACTGAAAAAATAACAGAAATTAAAATGAAAACAGACAAGATGAACTTGATCAGCAACTAAAACAGTCATCAACGTAAACTCAAAATCCATTTAATGTTACCATAATCTGCCAACTGTGCTCGTAAATCCCTCAGTAGGAGGTTTGGTCCTGGTCTTTCCTCTAATAGATTCCAGCACTTAGACATCAATTCTCTTAATTTTATTGCCCATTCCATATCTCCCATCAATTTATGGGGAGGATCAAGCTTTTTTCTGAACATGACTTTTAAAACCTAAAAAATATAGTCACTGTATATGATGAAACAAATTCTAAGATGATGCAAGTAATTTACAAGGACATGTACAGCAGAAATCTTTTAAGAGTTTTTGTTATTTCTAAAGACTGCTTCATATTAAGATGATCAGTAAGAACCCTGCTGTTCTTGAGAAAAAAGATTTTCTAGATTTTCCCTATAAACATTACTGCAAACCAACAATCATTCATGATATCTTTAATCACAATCTGTCAGTGTAAAATCGATCCACAATTATTAATTTTCACAAATGATGAAATTCACTGCATATCAAATAAATATTTGTGGCAAGAATTACAGGTGACTCTTGATCTCTCGAAGTTCAAGGGACCATAAAAAAAGTTCAAGAGATCGAGGGATTCGAGAAATAGAAAGTGAATAAAATCCGGAATTTTCAGTTCTGATCATCATTGTACAGTGGCTGCAACGTTATTGTTGACAAACCAATCATGTAGAATCATTCGTGTAACGTGCGCGATTGTTTGTGTAACACGAGAGATCGTGCAGGTATCAGGCTCAATCATTTGCGGTTTTAATCGTGCGTGATTGTGTGTTAAGAAACATGCAAATTTTGTTTTGTAAGTTTTTATCGGAATGTTATTTGTTAAACAAGAGTTTCGCTGGTCTGCTCTTTTTTTTTTATAATCCAAATGAAATAAATAAAGTGCGATTTACTTAATTGAACAAACTAATATCGCTAGTAAAAAAAGCAATATAGTAAGTCGTACAATATTGCATTCTCTTCAATTAAATAACGTGACCTTTAATGGTAAACTGTATTTAAGATGTTTAATAATTTTTTTCTCTGATGTTAATAATGTTTACTGCTAATTGTGGTCAAGATATTTTTTTATATCAAAAATGTATATATACAAAACAATAAATAATTCCCAATGCTTTAGTTACATAAATATTTAGTCAGCGAATGTACTCGACATGATTGTCGGGTTACTTTTATCAGTCTTTATCTCTGTAACTTACTTTATTTTTATAATTTCTGCATATGAATGATTTGTAAAATAATTGTTAATTTTAGAAATTCACAAATGGAAAAATGGATATAGTTATAATTCATTTTTATGCCTTTTTTTTTTTTTTTATCTCATCCCCCCTTACTGCATATCATAAAATCCAAAATAATCAAAACTCACGGCCCACCTACATCATCTGATAGAACATGCAGCAATCGATCATAAATTAGATCTTGACATATCAATCAAAAAGAACAAAATCAATTTTCTTAAGTCGGAAAATTACGTAGATATATATTTGTAATCTAAAAATTATTATAACTTATAAGTCTTATTTAGTTTCAAAAATATCCATTTCAAAATATTTTTTCAGTATTCCAAAGTTGATGAATAGTATCAATAATTATCTGGAATCGAAAATAAATATGAAGCCTTATTTTGTTTAAAAAAACAAAACAAAAAAAAACTCCTAAATATTTTTAACCATTTTGCATGAAGAATTGTGCATTTGTGTTAGCAATCGTGAAAGATCATGTAATGTGTAGAATCGTGTGCGTGAAGGATCGTTCGTGTAACAGGTTTAATCGTGCGTTTATCGTGCGGAATCGTTTGTGTAACGTGATCGTTTGTGTAAGTTGTCATCAATAACATTGCAGCCACTGTATATCTTGATAATGTCATTACACATTTTCATTCGTATTTTACAGGTAATTCACTTGATTTCAACAACAATGATTGTATTTTGAATAAATAAAATGGTTATTTTAAGTTCAATTGTTCTCATTTCATGATTACATGAAACCTGAACAGCAAGTGTCGATTTGGCTATTCCCCGGGCGTGGGCTTGATCGGTCCTTCACAAGATTGCTCGTAATTGGTATACAATTCTTGAGATAGGATCTCAAGTGCAATGTTTGCCAAACTGGGATTGTGTAGACTAATAATCGAGAGATCAAGAACTTCGAGAGATCGAAGTTCGAGCCATTGAGAGTCACCTGTATTTGTCAGAAAATGAGGGTCGCAAAACTCATGGATATTTCTGGCATGCGGGTAGAATTTGGTTTACAGTATCCATGCCCATGTTAAACTTTAATCCCTTCTTGTGGCCCCACCCCGGGGCCATAAACTGAACAAATTTGATTCTGCATTATGTTTGCATATTAATACCATTAATCATGGAATCTTGTCTAAAAATCATTTTAGACAAGAAAATCTTTAGGATTTTCCCTATATTTCCATGTAAAACTTTAATCCCTTACTGTGACCCCATCATACTCTTGGGGGCCCAGTTTGACAAAATTCAATCTGCTCAAAGTTGCACATCCATATCACTCAGCATGACCCATCCAGCATGGCTCTGCTGTTTTTGAGAAGATATTTTTTTTCATATATATTTTGAAAAACTTTGATCCCTTATTGTGGTCCCACCCTACTCCCATGGCTATGATCTGAACAAACTTGAATCTGTTTTAAACAAAATTGATTCTAACAATGTCAAAAAGCTGGCTTCTATAAGTTTCATCTTTTCTGGCCCAGTGGTTCTTGAAAAGATTTTTAATTGACTACCGCCCCCCCCCCCCCCCACCCCCCCCCCCCAAAATGTCCTGAATTCTTAATTATCTCCCCTTGATAGTGAGCATGGCCCTTCATTTGAACAAATATGACAAGTTAAGTTAAAATTGGCCTAGTGGTTTTGGAGAAGTTGAAAATGTGAATAATTTACAATGCTTACAACTACAATAGTAACGACAGACAACAGACAAATTTTGATCAGAAAAGCTCACTTGAGCCTTCAACTCAGGTGAGCTAAAAATACATGTGTACTGATATGTTTGAAATGATTTATTTAAAACTAGAACTGTCCAAAAGGGACAAATACCCCCCGCTGGGTTTTTCAGAGAAAGTACCGAATCACTAATGTTTTCTAGATGTGAGAGGTGTTCACAATTTCCTTAAACATTTACAGTGAAAATTTAATTACTCATTATATATTTTCATACGTCCGTCTTATGACGGGACGTATTATGTTATAGCGTTCATGTTTGTCCGTCCGTTAGCTTTTTCATGTCTGGCTCATAACTTTAATACTATTAGGCCTAGAATTATCAAACTTTGTCAGCTGATACATCTAGGGTAGAAGGTGTGTCGCACATTAAAACCATGTCGTTCTGACCTTTAATAAAGACGCTATGGCCAAATATGGAAAAATCATAACTAGAAAACCATTAGACTTAGAATCAAAAAACTATGTCTTTTAACTTTTAAATTACACAATCCCAAAAGATGTCAGAGTATTGCAGTATCTTTATTAAAAAAGTGTTAAATCAAGAAAATACTAGTCTTATTTTTTTCCTTATGTTCTTTACAGCAATCTGTGACAACAAAAATTCCACCTCTCCCATGGGTGTAATGATCAGGCACTGGTCAAGGAAAATTTTGATAGCAGAAAATTGCATGTCAAATTAGAGATAAATTAATGAGTTTAGTGTGAGGAGATAACTGGCAGAGCATCTCTGATCAAGCAGGTGTTATCTACATCTCTTGGGAAATGGGCAAAAGGAATCAGTCTCTTAATTAATTGCTTTTGTTGTATTGAATTGTTCTTGTTGGCTAGTCTTACTTTCAAGATAAATTTGATGTAATTAAAACTAATTTGATATTGTATATAATAATTAAAACTTATATGATATTGTATAATATAATTTAAACTAATTATTTTATATTGTACATTTTTTATTTGAATTTTTATATCTTTACAACAAATTGCAGACTGCCTTGTCTCGCAAAGATGTCATTCAAACAATTGAATCTAAACTGTTTCTGATAATTTAACAATATTTGATGGGCATATCATGCTGTGGTGGGGCACTTTATTAAATGAATGAAACTAAGGTGCAGCCTAATAAAACATCAACACTAATAATCACAGTGTTTTTTATTACATTGAAAAAATAGTTTGCAACTATCTGCCATCTTTGTGAGACATGACACACTGCAAATTGATTGTTGAAAAAAAGAATATCATAATTAATTATAGAAAATCAAATTGATTTTAATACCTTTATATCAAACTCATTTTAAAAATAAAAGGCTGGTTTTAGTAACTATGTATTTTGACAGACATAAATTACAATTAAGAGACTTAGACAACAGAGATCTTTATTTCTTTCTGCCCAATTCCCCTGAGATATAGATAAGACCTGCTTGATCAGAGATGCCCTAACAGCTTCCCACACTGAACTCATTAATTAATCTTTAACTGGATGCATGTCCACTCATTACTCCCAAGGGACAAATGGATCTACACTATCTGCTGTGTAATGTAAAAACTGTTTTTAATACTTTGTGTTTTTTTTTTAGTTCTAATGAGTAGTTTTAAGCTGTATTTCACATTTTTGTACAGATGTTCTAGATTCTATGTCTCAAACCTTAGACATGAACCCGAAATGACTAAGTCAATAAAAATAAAATAAAAAAAAAAACACCTGTAAAATGCAGAAAAATTATCAAATAATGTTGAAAATACCAGGTGCACATCTTCATATGGTAAATAATAAGTGTACAAATTTTCATACAAATCTATGCAATAGTCTCTGGGAACAGATCCAGACAAAACCACATAATAAAAATGAAAAAAAACACCTGTAAAATGCAAAATAATTATCCAATCATAATGAAAATACCAGGTGCACACCTTCATATGGTGAATAATAAGTGAAACAATTTTTCAGACAAATCCTTCCAACAGTTTCCAAGAAATGGTCCGGACAAAATCTCATCTACAGACAGACGGACAGACAGACGGACAGACAGACGGACATGCTGATTCCAATATACCCCCCCTAAACTTCGTTTGCGGGGGGTATAATTAAAATATATATCTGATGGGGGAAAGGGGGAGGGGGATAGCAAGCCTTTGAAACCAATGCACTTTACTTTGTCATTAGGTAAGCTTGAGAATCTTTGTGTGTCTACAGGATTCAGTCCATCAGAAAACATTTCCCAAAGGGTTGTCCCAAATGCAAACACATCTGACTGTGGTGTCATTTTGGAAATCCGTGAAGTTAATTCCTTTTTCTGATAGTCTGTGTACAGTTCAGGGGCTAAATACAGTAACCTGAAATCACAGAAATTTTAAGGTAAAATCACACAAACTCATAAAATCAGTTATAACTGTTATTGTTATTTGATCAATAAATGTTCTTGCTTGTATCTTATGTCGGCAAGATACGTATTTCACATTTCCAATTTCATTTTTAATTATCAATTTATGTTGATAACAATTCATAATCATGTACTTGAACAAGAGACTCATACACCTCTTTAGACTTTACTTGCTGGTATACTCAAAAATATAACTTTTCTTCAAAATGATCCACCTTTCCCTAACCTTGTACCTGAATCTCTGGATCCAGGGGGTGTATTTTTTTTTTTAAAATTTTAGTTGAAGGCTCATAACCCATGATCATACTAAATTAGTTGTCTGTATATGATGAACTTCACATCAGTCGTCACTTGAACTTGAGAGCCAGATGACATGAATTTCCTAAGCTTGTACGGATCTCATAGCTCAATATCTATCTGCCTCAAGTGAGGAGGATTTTAAACTCAAAATATAACTAACTTGTCACATCTTGAAGTCTGCACTCTTTATCCAAGAACATTTTTGTTAAACAATTTTTTGAAGAGGCTCATTACTTGTTATTATCAAGTAAACTGTTTTTCCAAGTTTCAACAAGTATGTACTACATTTCCAATGATTGATCAACTAAGCCCCTCCTTGAGACTAAAACTCTGGACCAAGACCAGGGTTTCCCAGAAAAAAAAAAGATTTACTAACAATTCTGATCTAAGTGTCAATTTTTATTTAAATTCATGCTGGTTTGTTAAGGAATATTTCAGTCTTAATTAATTTAGAAATTTGTCTAAGAAATGGATGCCTGGGGACCTAATTTAACAGTTTTGGCAAATATTTTGACATACTGCAGATCACCACCCTTTATATGTGTGAGATAGGTATTTGATATTTATAAGCGAGTCAAAATTTATATATCCTATGCTAATAAAAATATAAATGCGAGAAAAATTTTTGTGAGCAAACAGTCTCTTGTAATTAAGCCAAAATAAAGTTCTCATGAATAAAAAGCATTTACATTATATAAAATTTGACTGTGTAGCTCACCTGTGTCTGTTCTGTTGATTCAGTAGATCTAGGCTATTCAGAAGAGTAACCATTCCAGGATCCCCGATCTTTACCAGAATGTCATCAATTTCATAGCGAAAGACTAACAAGTTACGGCAACGCAGGTTTCCATGAACCAAGTGATGCTCATTCTGAAAGAGAGGCAAGAAACTGATTGTAAAATACAACCACTGCATGTCTTGGAATTTCACATAAAATTTTCTACATGTATGAGACCATGGCATCTCCACTTGCATATGTCCAAGAACCACACAGAAATTTAAGTTTGTTCAGGTAATATGAATTTATAATGTGTTTTGAAATTTGGTACTAAAATGATGGTTTTTTGACATTTCTGTGCCCCACAGAATATGAACAAAACGTAACATTCAATGAAACAAATGTAATGGTGTTGTTAGAAAACACGTACACTTCAACAGACTCCTTGTAGACTAATTCAAGCATGATCTAAATTTAGCACAAATTAAAGTAGCAGTAAGTTTATTTTGATAATGTTCACATTTATTTTCATTTTGTTTGAGATCATGATTTACTCCACAAATACTGCAAAAGGTGACAAAATATGAATTCTTTAAAATAAGAAATAAATAAACTCATGTACAGTAAAAGCATTCAAACGTGATTAATTTTTTTTTACCAGAAACAACATTCCTTGAGCCATCTGACTGGCTGCATTCAGCAGATGAAAAGGTTTGATTGGTTGGTTAGGCTTCCTCTTTTTGAAGAAAGACGCTAAGGAACCATACTGGGCTTTTTCCATTACTAACATCGGAGGGGTGGTCAGGATAAGTCCATGTACCCGAACAAAGAATTTGGGATCATCCATCCTGATCAGCTGTTGAACAGCATGCTGAAAGTGCTGGAAAATATAAACAACAATTAGTAGAATGAGAGTCATTTGGCAAATAGCTTGTAAAGAATGGCGATGGATTGGATACATCCTCAGAAAACTGGCCGAAGACATTACATGCCACAACGCACTTGAGTGAAACTCCAAAAGCAAATGTGGGATCAGGCATCAAAGAACAACCTGAGGAAGGTTATGTTAGGAAGAAATCAGACAGTGTGGTCAGAGCTGGGGTGGGGGTGGGGGTGGGGGAGAAGGCTGCCCACAACAGAGAGTGCTGGAAGATTTTTGCCAAGGCCCTATGCTCCATCCAGAATCAAAAGATGAATATAGAATCAGAGAAAGGGTAATTATAGTTGATAAAAACTTAATCTCTATGAAGGTCAATATTCATATTTAAATGATATGTCCCTGATCAGAAAAAAAACTCAAAGAAAGAAAGATCCTATCATTTGGTCAGTAGTACATGAATACAACTACATGTACATGTATATACTGTATTATAAGACTAGTGTAAATCATTTTTTATTCAAGGAAACTTTATCAAAAGATCATAAGCTCATGAAAATTTACTACAGTAAAAAAAATTTTTTGAAATATTTTTCTTGGTTATAGATACCAAATAACTGTCTTGTGAAAATTACAGTGTCAGGAAAATTTGGTGATCTACAGTACTTTGATGAATCCATGCTAAAGTAAAGGATGATTTTCTGAAGTACATTCTGTATGCCTGAATGTTATGTTCATGTACTGACTTAATGAAAAAATTGAAAATTTTTATATATAAGTTCTAGCTTGAGTTTAAGCAATCTGTTTAATACTAGCATGCCTAATCTAGAACTTTCCTATGCTGCAATAAATAAAATTGACTTTGAGATAATCCCTAAAATAGTGTGTTCATGTTTCAAACACATGAAACCTATACCTGCTTAATGATATACACCTCATCATCCCAGATTTATCTGTCCTAATTCTGTCACCACCTTGCAACATTTAATTCAAAGGTATGCCTTAAGGCTTCACAAAATGAATTCTGCTCTTGTATTAAATTTTTATTTTTTGAATATATGGGTATGTTTAATTTCTTTTTTGTTTTTATTGCACACCCAAACCCAACAAAATCTAATTTCATTTTTATGTTCCTTAGGATGCCAACATAATGTCAACCTTGAACAACTACCAGGAAAAAAAATAAACCTATTAAAATAAAGACACTTGTGACTAAGTATATATATACTGGTGATAAAAACACAAATCTCCTATAGTATTAACACCTTTGCTAAGTCAGAATAATTTTTTTTTTGTTAAGTTCTTAAAAATAAAGGTCTTCACCTTTTGCTGTATGCCTACATGGAACAATCACTTTAACTTTAAAAAAATAAATTCAATCAACAGTAGACAAAATGTTTTAAATAGAATGATGAGGAGGGCACTGCATACTGTAATATTCCTAAAAAAAAAAAAAATACGCAACGAATTTATCATTGAATACATCTGCAAGAAACACTACTTGTAAAATTATTTACTCCCTTTTATATTTGCTAAAATAACATGAAAAAAAAAAATCATGACCAAATCTTATGCAAATTCATGGTATCTATGGTCTAGCGATTTGACATCTTTACGAGCCATTTCAAATACTGGCATAAAATAAGGAATTTATGCGATATCTTAATATGAATGTTGTAGACAGACCATATATTTACATCCACCTGAATATTTTCTCTTATTACTTATGAAAACTGTCTTGCCGTTCATCAAATTGAAAACTGTACACAGGATTATTTTTGCCCTGTGTTATTTTCGCCCTTTCACACTTGCAAACAATTTTGCCCCGATTTAAATTCACCCAGTCACAATTCTGTTTAAGAAATTATAATGTGTTTTTTGAATTTGCCCCATTTTATATTCACCAAACCTTTGAGTAGGGCAAATATAAAAAGGGGGGCAAAAATTTCCCTGTACATGTATACAGTACATGTAGCTCTAAACGGATTACTGTAAGAAATATTTGAAATTTTAAAGAAGTGGATTCTTCCATCAAATAAATGTAATACATGCATCAATAATACAATATTTAATGTACTCTCACCCACTTTATACAAAATTTAGTTTATACACAATCTTAGTTTGTGTGCAAATCATGTAGACAGAGTAAAATGAGACCTATTTAATTAAATATTTTATTGCAAGTTCATTTCCCTATTAAATATCACAGTGTTATTGTAACAGCAGGAGCTGAATTATTGTTATTTTTTTTTAATACGGAATGACGTACTAGGCAAGTATATTCTGTAAATCAACGGGGGAAAACAATTCTGGTGCGTTGTTGAAGCAAATATATTTAAAAAAATAAAATTTTGGTGTTGTTCCACTCGAGTGTAGAGGGACACAGGAAAATTCATTTTGGGGCTTAATTAAATAAAAGCTTACTTATACAACTAAAACTCTCCAGAATGGACAAATATCCCCACTGGGATTTCAAAAAAGGTGCAAAGTCACTAAACATATTTTATGGATCTAAGAGGTGTTCACAATTTGTTTAAACATTTATATTGAAAATTTAATTGCTCATTATATTATTTTAATGAATGATCATGATGATGAACTAAGGCACAGCCTAATAAAACATTAATACTAATAATTATATTGTTTTTTTTTAATAGATTGAAAAAATAAATTGCAACTATCTGTCATCTTTATAAGACATATGACACTCTGCAATTTCTTTATTTAAAAAAAAATCATATCATACAATATCAAATTAATCTTGTTAACTTGATACCAAGTTCATTTTAAAAATCCAGTAACTATGCATTTCAATTTGACAGACTTTAAATTACAATTAAGAGAGTTATAGAACAGAGATCTTTAATTCTTCTACCCAATTCCCAGATGATATAGATAACACCTGCTAGATCAGAGATTCTCTAACAGCTTCCTACATTGAACTCATCAATTCATCTTAAACTGGATGCATGTCCACTCATAACTCCCAAGGGACAAATGGATTTACAATACATGTATCTGCTGTGTAATGCACCATGAATCTGTAGTACAATAGACATATTTATGTCATTCTGAGTGTGTAATCTTGATGCAACATTTTTTAATAAGGTTAATGCATGACTCTTAGATTTGTAGGGACTATGTACCAAAAAACTTTGTTTAAAAGTTTTTTTTTGAGATTTAATGAGTAGTTTTAAGCTGCAATTCACATTATTGTACAGATTTACCAACTGGCAGTTCAAGATTCTATGTCTAAAACCTTCATGAACCCAAAATGACCAAGTCAATAAAAATGAAAAAAAAAAAAACATATCTGTAAAATGCAGAAAAATTATCCAAACATGATGAAAATACCAGGTGTATACATATGTACACTCATTATTCACCATACGAAGGTGTATACACCTTCGTATGGTGAATAATGAGTGTACATATGTTCAGACAAGTCCATGCAATAGTCTCCAAGAACAGGTCCGAACAAAATCATGTCTACAGGCAGACAGACATACCCCCTACACTTCATTTGCGAGGGGTATAATAAATATCAGATGAGTATGTAGTAAATGCAGAATAATGAAAAAATTACAGAATTCAAATACCATTTTCAATTAAATTTGCATATTGTGTAATTATTATCACAAATTTTAAAGCACATATCAAACCTCAAAACAGCGGAACATCTGATCATTAGAGGTGTGACGTAACTGTTTGACTGCATGTAGAGCTCCACATTCAAGGTCACCTATGCGAACTTCCGTAAAACTTCCAAGTTCTGTAACAGAAGTATATATGACTGTGTTAATGCTAAATAAAATATATACATAACCATTGCTACATGGTGGATATTAACATGAAAATTAACATAGCTCTTTTTAGGGTAAATCCCCTCCTTCAAAAATTCCTACATTCACAAGATGCGGATAAGACAATTACGCAGACCCATCAGGAAAATAGAGACACATGTCATATACTGATCACTAAAGATTTGTGATCACAGTTGTCAGCAACCCTTTAAATAAATCATGCTTGACATACATGTGTATTCAAATATCAGAAAATCAACCTCATCCCTCAGTGCTATTGTTTTCTTTCTATATTTTTTTTATGTTTAGAGTGACCTCTAACCTATGACCTACCTATGACTTCTTTGACCTTGACCTCTTCTGGGAGGATAAGATGTGGTTTCTTTTTCTGATTGTTCATGGCTGCTTCCTCCTCTTCATCTGGAATTATTTCTTCCACAAAGAGTTTTCTCAAAACATCAACAGGCTCTACAATATTAAAACAACATGCTTTGTACCTCAAAGATCACATGAATGTTTTTTTTAGTATTATAACTACAACTATAATCCTTGGCAAGCACAAGTGTCTGTGAGTAAGCTTTTAGCAACTGATACAAATTATGGAAGGGTAGAAATTTTTAGAGAACAAGTGTTTGATTTCTACATGACTCATATACCATAAATTCCACCTTAATTTATACATATAGCTTGATGAAGGCTCAAATTTTTTTACTGATTAAAGATTGAGGCTATATAACCATTGAAATTACTTTAAATTCATACTCTTGCAAGACAGGCATAAAATGAATGTGATATACTCTTTTAAGACACAGGTGTCAAGGTTTATATATGAATGTATGTACCTTGCTGGGGTTTGACCTTGACTGGGTGTTTCGGGAGAAGGTTGCGAACTTCTGACATATATCTGATGATGCTGTTGATGTCCTTGAACTTTTCCTCTTCCTCCCCCTCCAGACAGTACTGGTTCTTCTTCTGGTCAATCAGCCTCTTTCTGGTCTGTCCACCACAACAAAACAGTATGGCCAACTGGTCAAAGACCAACATACTCTGCTTAAGAATGTAGTACTCGTCTGACAGGTACTTGGTTTTTAGCTTACGAACAGCTGTGTTTGTTCTGAAAATAATTATCAATAACGGTATACAAAATATCATTTTTATTTGGTAGGAATTCTATTTTTTCTCTAACATTAACATCATTCATTCATGGCAAGTACAGCTAAATTTCACTATCTCGAACACCAATATCTCGAATACCATGGATATGTCGAAGTGACTTGGAAGTCCCTAGCACTTTTTCCTTTAAGTATTTTACCCTCAATATCTTGAACCCTCACATATCTTGAAGTTTTATTCATGGTTCCATTGAGTTTGAGATAATGAGGTTTGACTGTGTTTAATTTTTACAAATCTTGCTCAGTGATGAGTTACAAGACTTGTATATGGAATAAAATGGTCAATTTGTTTTTGTCTTTCTTTTGCACAATAAATTCTTTCTGTGCAGTAATCAACAAAGATTTGATATCTGATTCACATTTCTTATATACTATATGATATTGCTGTATAGGAATATAACACTGACTCGATAGGACCATGACACTTTAGTCTGTTAATCTCCTGCAGGGTTGGCAGCTCCATCTGTTGGTAAAGATTCATGTAGTAGTCCGTAATCAGGCGATAGTATCCATTGATCCCAGAAACAAAAGATTCTGCTACAGATTTACTCTCAAATCTCAACACCTAAAAATAAAGCACCATCACAATAAATTTATCAAAATATTGAAAATGTGTCAAAAATTTATCAAAATAATGAAAATGTGTCATAAATTTATCCTATTATACTGAAAACGTGTCATAAATATTCTACTTGATACCTCTAGTCTGCCTGATCAGATAGCTGTGTAAGTTTTTTTTTGGTGATATGGAGGAGATTTATGTCTCCATGAATTTTACATAATTATACAAAGAAGTGTCATAACAAAGTCTTAACCTGGTAACTGCAGCTATGTATTTCAAAACATTTAATATATAACTGGTATCATTGGTACAGAAGGTCAAACCCAAAAAGGAAACTTAATATTTATTGTTAAACAAATACTAGTATTATTTTATAACTCTGTAAATTACCTTCCCATAATTCATGAAAAGAAACAATTCAAGTACCAATTTGATAATATAAAGTTTTGTATAATATATACTGACAACAGATATTTTTGAGCTTTTAACCCCACCCCCCTTCCCCATCCCCTAAAAATTCATTTGAAAATGTTCAGAGTGTGTTTGGCTTTGACAAGACTCAGTCATTTAATTCCTCCTACATATGCATTTGGCATATATCTATATTAAAGGTGCATCAGTAGTTCAATAGCTACTACAGATGGGTGTAATATACATGTATGTGCTCCAGTATATACATTTAACCAAACCAGAATCCTTTTTCTTGACATTTGCCATTTCCAAAATTCTTACAAACACCTACAAGATCTAAGATGGTAATCAAACTGGCATACAATTCTTTGAAAACTTCAGTGGAATGGTCTATTGTGGAATCATTTGAATTTGTGGGGGTTAAATTTCCTGGATTCCTAAACAATGACTCTGTTCATGAGGACACAATTTTGTGGGTGAACATCTAACTATTATGAAAGAATAAATAGTCTACTAGTATCAATATTAATATTGAGGGTGTAAATTTGTAGTAAGGAGTACTTATGTAATCCATGAAAATTAACCCCCCACAAAATGTAAATGACGTACCCCACAGTGTGGCTGTCCCTCAATAAATATTCATAACGACCTTTATAATACTCCTCCACGTTTACGTTTCGATCTCAGATTAATGGATAAAAAACAAAACAAAAATTTAAGCTTTAAAGTTTGATGCTGCTAATTGTTATATTGAAATTCCTGATGATAACGGAGATATGTTTAAATAGTCCTTTGCAATCAATGAATAAAACATCACAAAACAAACAAGACTGAACATGAACCATGCTAATTAATCAATATGATCAAATGTCATCTTTGAACAAACAATTAAGGGTTAATATATATTAAGTCGATCATAAAATTTTCAAGACACTTTTCTACATACAAATCTAGAAAAGTCATATCTCATTTTTCCTCATTAATCAATCAATCAATCAATGAAGTCTGATTATGTAAGATAAAAGATTATTTTAATCACTAGTATATTCCCAACTATCTTATTAAGCCTAAAATTAATTCCTACCACACAGCACTGTCACGGAAGCTCGGTCTGTAGAAAGATAGCTCGGTAAAAGGAAGGTAGTGGGTTCATTTCCCAGCTAAGACAAACCTAAGACACTATAAGACATATATAAAATACATGTAGGTAGCATCTGTTCCTTTGCTTAGTGCTTGGTTCTTTGAAGTGAAAGTGTCAGGTGATTTAGAAGATACCTTAAAAACCAAGGCCTCGACTCATGGCAGCCAAAGAACTCTCACGGCTTAATGGCCCATAGTGCCAAGTAAAGGTTAATTTACATTTGAAGCCCTTCACTGGCAGCGGGTGAAATCTTTTATGAGTGAAATAATGCAACAAGGGACGTAAAAATACAACCAATCGATCAATCAACCTACCGCTGGGCAGCCATTAGATCTGTCTAGATGAACATTCCAGGACTTTTTCTTTTCCTCAGCATGGTTTGGTGATATATGGATGGCTCGGAAATCATCTATTGAAGAAAAGAATTCCTGTGAAACAAAAAAAAAAAAATTATTGTGAAATGAAAATCCATAACAATTTAGCATTAAAATATAATTATATGCACAATATTTTGGATTTGCACTTCTAAACATATTGTGGAACACTTTTTGAACACTGTAATTTTTAACTGTTTTTAAAGCAAATAAAAATTGTAATGAAAACCAATATTGCATGCTACCTAAATGCTTACCTTATTTTTCAAATAAGACAATAGAATTTATCTTGTACTATATCATAATACATATATGATGATATGATATACATATTGTGAGTCCTTGTGATCGATACAATCAATGTATCAGGGTATCATTTATATACCTCTAAATACAAGCATATAATTCAGACTGTGAATAATGATTTCAAATTGACATAAATGCTAAAAATCCCTTAATTGAAAAAAAAAGCTGGTAAAACTGCAGTTTGTAATTTCAAATATGAGCTGCCAAATTACTTGAGTCAATGGTAACAACTGTATATACAGGGGAATGTTCACTCCTGTTTTATTTTTATCACTTCTCTGCATTAAGGTGATAATCTTTCAATAAGTAAAAAAAATTGGACTAAAATTGTTTGGCACAAATTATCGTATTCACCATTCAATGACATCAACAATTTCTTACATTATGGATGAATAGTCCCTTATACTGAGTGCCCCCGTTTTCCTCGTGTTGCTGTACATCCAGTGTGATCCGCACGGGACGTGGACTCCCCGTAGTGACCTGCTGGGCCTCGTATCTTTCCACTCCATAGCTCTGTACCTCATTCAGAACATCCTAATTATACAAAAACAAATTTTTCTTTCATTTTTAAATTTTGAATTTAAATGGAAAACCTTGTAAGGTGTCAATTTCGTTTTTTTTTTTTTTTGCCTACTGGAAACCAGTACTGTAATCAAAATGTTGAAAAACAAGAGGCCCATGGGCCACAATGCTCACCTGAGTCAATATGGCCCTGCTGTTCTTCATGAGCATATATTCATATGTAAAGCTTTGATTGTCTGTTCTAAGCATACCCTACCCCCAGGTGCCATGTTTTGAATGAAATTGAATCTAAACTTTCTGAGGATGTTTCTATATTCATATAACTAATCATGGCTTTGCTGTTCTTCAAAATGGAATTTTAAAGATGTCTGCCAGTCTGCCACCCTACCCTTGGGGGGGGGGGGGGGGGGGGGGAGTTGTGTGTGTCATGATTTGAACAAACTTGAATCTACACTACCTGAGGATGATTCCATATCAATATGACTAATCATCGCTTTGTGGTTCTTGAGAAGAAGATTTTTAAAGATATTTGCTATATATGTTCTTTTGAAAAACTTTGATCCCCCACCCACATTTATAGCCCAACCCTACTACTGGAGGATGCCTTGAACAAACTTGAATCTACAATACTGGGGGATACTTCCATATCAATATGACTAATCATGGCTTAAATTCCTGTTCTTGAAAAGATTTTTCGTATATATTCCTATGTAAAACTTTGATCCCCTATTGTTGCCCCACCCTACCCTGGGGGGTCATGATTTGAACAAACTTGAATCTACACTACCTGAGGATGATTCCATATCAATATGACTAATCCTGGCTTTGTTGTTCTTGAGAAGAAGATTTTTAAAGATTTTTCCTATATATTCCTATGTAAAACTTTGGTCCCCCATTGTGGCCCCACCCTACCCCCGGGGGTCATGATTTGAACAAACTTAAATCTACACTATGTAATGAAGGTTTCACATAAGTTTCAACTTTTCTGGCCCTATGGTTCTTGAGAAGAAGATTTTTGAAAGATGACACCAAATTTTCACCAATTTTTAATTATCTCCCCTTAGAAGAGGGTGGGGCCCTTCTTTGGAAAAAACTTGAATCCCCTTCACCCAAGGATGCCTTGTGCCAAGTTTGATTGAAATTGGCCCAGTGGTTCTGGAGAAGAAGTCGAAAATGTGAAAAGTTTACAGATGGACGGATGGACAGACGGACTACAGACAAAATGTAATCAGAAAAGCTCATTTGATCTTTCAGCTCAGGTGAGCTAATAAAAAGAGGAAATCAAATTTTGACACATCCGTTTTGTTACCTTGATATAACCCAGCCAGAGTTCTTCTACAGAGGTGGTACTGTGCTGCGATAAAAACTCTTCAGTTTTGGTCTTCATGTTCTTCTTCAACTGGTAACCCCTCCATAATCTCACGATCAGATGGGAGGGCAAGAAAGACTCGAGTTTCTGTTTGTTGAGGACCTCCTCATAGTTTTTATTCTCCATTTTAATGGCAATGACGATGCTGAGAACAGCATAACCTCGGGCCTTGGCCTCATTCTTTATGTCTTGTTCATAAATATCACTGAGGCGGCTTTTAACAAAGTCGTCCTTACACTGTAGGTACAGATACTTTAGGAGATCCTGTCCAAGAAAAGGCAAGTTGTGCACAAACTTTCTCCCTGGAACATACCTGATCCTCAGGTAGAAAATATTTTTTGCATTAGCAGTGGCTGAGTTTAGAATCTGTTTCTTTAGCTCCTCCATCGTAATACAAGGATTTACCCAGAGCATTTTTGGTGTCCGTTTCTTGTCTATAGAAGCCAGTCCAAAGAGCTGAACAGCAGCAGGTCCCATCTTTATGAAATGTTTCCTAAGCAACTGAATACACAAGTCCTCAACAACTTTTGAGTCATCCTTAGAATCCACAACATACACTGTCCCATCATGCAACTCAATCTGGACCCGTACCACCGCTGTCGACTGGAATGACACGTTGACCTGTGACAGGTTCTGTTGTGTGGGTTGACTGTCCAGGGCAGTGCTGGAGGTCATCTGAGGAGGAGGACTCAAATTCTCCTCAGGGGTGGATGAAGAAGAAGATGAGGGAGGGTTTATTGTTGTGGAAGTCAGATTTGTCACTTGGGTGTGTGTGGAGGATACAGAGTTTGGACCAGTCTCCGCTGAACCACCCGGCACCGATTCCACATGGGAATTTGCAGAATTTGTATTCGTGCTGGCATCACTATTCAGTAACTGAGTTTTGGACATGTTAGACATGGTTCCACAAGAGAGCAGTTTTCAATTCAAGTTCTTCATTCAAAGTCTATTAGTCGTCATTGATTTTGTGAGCCTTAATTTTGCTGAAAAAGAAAATAATGGACAACTGAAACTGAAATGCAGACAGATACATTAAATAAAAGAGCAAAGTCTCCTGGTGACAATCAAACATCACGTCTCTCTGCTGTCATAGCTATCAGCATCATTATTGTTTCCTACAAGTGTGTATAGATGGTATCAAGAAATAATCAATGTGACAGAGGATGTTTAAGCATTATTAATGAATTTTGAGAAATAATCAATCTTCCTACTAAACTCTTTCTCTCTCTCATAAACATGTACCCATTGTTAATTCACAAAACTATGTAGGGGTACATTGTTTTCATAATCCATTAAAATTACTAATAATTTTCCCCATTATTCTTATTTCTTAAAAATCTAACTTTCTAAGACCAAATTTAAATTTGTCAGAGACCATTGATACATTCATGATATACATATCGAATGATTATTGACACTTTAATAATTATAAGCTTTAGTCTAGCTGCTAAAGTCATATATGGCGTGTTTTTGATAAGTTCAGACTTATTAAAATTAAAAAGATCTTTCTATTTGTTTGATGACATTATATAAAGATAGGACTTTCCTGTAAATTGCACAATTTAAATCAATTGTGTTTCATAGATATCAGAGATTTAAAACAATAACCAATTTATTTACCGACTCCGCATTTAAATATCAGACACAGTTTAAAGTCAATTTAACTACAGAAACGTGGGGATATTCAAGTTTAAAATCGGTGAAAATTTTAATTTGAACGTAAATAACAAATATGTTGATCTACACTTTATCTCATTTTTTAAAATTTTTTTTTTAGCTCGGATACACCATATATAGCTTTAAGGTTTGCATGCATGTTGATTAAAGTTGCATGTCTTCATCTTGAAATAAATATTTGATGATCGATAAACTATAATACATTTAATACATCTGATATTTAATTATCAAAAATGTGCATACTTATTTATTTTAATATATATAAATATCTTTATAGACGAAAAATTGTTGTAGTTTGCAAATTACTTGTTATATCAAATTAAGGCATACAAGTAAAAATATTCAGTTCAAGAAATGCTTTTTGTTCAAGAATTCCATGGCTTAAATTGACTTAATTAAAACTGCCTGAAAATTAATATTGCAGTAGCTGACATGAATCCAGGTTAAAAATTATAAAGATAGTTTGAAATGAGTTATGCAAATCCGAATCAAAGACTATCTTTATCAAAATTTTCATAAATGGCACTAAAATGACAGACATGAATAAAATTTCAGTTGATGATCTATGAATACCTTTGATTCAATCAAAGATTGCTTCTAAAATTTGTCTTCTGAGTTAACAACTAGCTATCAAAAATGATCATAATATTCAAAACCAACAGACCATGACTAACTGTCAATCTCTGATGTTTTGCAAAAAAGAACACGCTTCCATAATAATGTCAGCCAAAAATTTAAAATAACACCACATTCTTCTTTGTAACTAAGCATCCCTGCCTTTACAGGCTCGCCTTGGGACCTTTTTCAATCCATGCACTCAGAATATATAAGGACCTGCTTTACATGCCTGGTAACCAATGTAAATTTTATAACAGATGTATAATTATAACACCTTTTTCTAATTTTAAAGGTACGTACAGTATAGCCAGGGCACAAGGGAAATGAAAACCTTGAAAACATCAAGCTACACCATTCATCAAAATCTAAAACCCAGGCACTTAATTATTCATCTTAATATAATTTATTTGTGTGCCAATTTAAGTCTTCTTGAAATCAGATCAAATCTAGAAAATGGGTTTTTTTTTTTAAATCCTTTTTTTTAAAAAGTAATTTCAGTGAAATTAAAAACAGATATACATAATTTATTAATTTTAGTCTCTATCAAGATGATTTAATTACTATCTCTATCCTATGACAGGCCAGAAATTATTTTTTACTTACTTTGATATCCTTTCACACTGTGATAGAATATCACCTTGGTATCCTTTCACACTGTGACAGAATAATCACTTTTATTCAATAAATTAATCAAAGTCTTTCACTGTTGAAAATGTAATAAAACCATTTACTTCATTATTTATTTTTAAGGAAAGAAGATAAATATATAAAGAAATGCATTATTATTATTATATATGTCAGTGCCGGAAATTGTTTTGAATTGCATGTGTATTGTTGTTAAGAAAATAAAATCCTTGGTGTTAACAGACTTTGTCAGAGTGGTATTAAGTATTTTTGGATTTTTAAATGCTGTTTAAGACAAACACCATAAGGAAATCTTGATGAATATATATCAGGATGTTGCCGTGATGTGACACGAGGTGCCAAGAACTTAAATACATGCATAAACAGGGATGCTATTAATTCCATGAAATCTCTTATATAATAGACACAGGTTGAGAGACCTATAGATAGCCTCAAGGCACTATAAAAACACAATATTAATGCTTGAAATTATATAGCACTTGAGAACAGATGTTACAATTAAGCCAAAAAAAAAAAAAAAATGGTTGTAAATGGTGCAAAAATCAAGTTTCTAAAATACTGAGAAATTGTACACTTTCTTTGATGTTAAAAATTCTACCTCTCTGCAATCACCCTTATAAATCTATACAATTTTTTTTATCACTTTATAGGACAATATTATAAAATTTTTGAATGAAAAAATACAACCTTTGTAGTTAAACTAAGTCTTACTCATTTTACTTACATAAACATGACTAAAGTTGTTATTTTCATGGTTTTTTTAAAGTTATCATGTATGTGTAGTTTGTTTGTATCATCTGTCCTATAATTATCATAAACATCAATGCAAGTACTGTGATTCAAAAATTAAAATAGCATGCATCATTTTGTGACATATAAATTTAGAAAATGCCTTAATTGACAGAAAATATTGAAAATCTACAGGTTGCATATGCTATAGTGCACTAATAACCAGAAATCTGAATAAGCTTGTAACTGCATAGTAAAACTTCATTTTACTTTGAGGTAATCAATTGTACATGCCTATAAGTCAGATTTTGGGGAGTTAAATTTAGACAAAAACTTAAACATGTTAAATGCAACAGAATACTTCTTTATGCAATTGGCTACAGATTCTGGCAAAAAACTGTTTTGACTTACTAGCAGATCAATGCCAAATTCCTCAAAAATAATCTTAAAAAAATACAATCAGCTTAAAGGTGACTGACTTACAGGTTATGATAAATTTATACACAACAGTATACTTTATGATCTTAAGATCATGAACATGATGAAAAAGTAAGAACTTTTGGTTAAGACCATTTTTAATCATTTGTAATGTAGTGGGAAAAGTACTGACAAAGTGTGAAACAACAATGAAAATAGAAAGAAATGGAGTTAAAAAACACCCACTCAGACCATGTTTCGAGACTCGATCAAATTGAATCAAAAAATAGAAATATTATCAACTAACTGAACACAAACATACATTACACAATAGCCCATTTAACAACACTTCTTAAGCTTTTCCATAAATACCAAGAATCACTTATGAAACAAGACATGTTTGTGAAACTTTGATGCCCTGTACGGCAGCTCATGGTCAAGGTTAACGTTTTTCAGAAGTAGGTCAAACTTCAACATTGAGAGGACAAAAATGTTGGTATGCAAAGAAAGGATCTTATCACAAAGAATAAACGTGAAATATGAAAGCCCTAGCACCATCTGTTCAGAAGTTAAAATTTTTGCGTACAGACAGACAGACCAAAAACTATATGCCCCTGAATCTTTGATTACGGAGGCATAAAAATCTTTAGCATACTGTTCAAAAACACAATCCTACAGGTAACAGACTCAGATTCAACTTACAAGAAACTTCTTCCATATAGCAATTTAAGATCTAAGTGTATGCTTTAATTCTTTAAAGAGTGGAGGAGAATGAAATTGAATTAAAATCTTTAAAAACTGCAAATCATGATCAAGATGATCTATGTGTTTGAAATCTGATGTTACAATCATGTAAAAATTATCTACCTGATACTACTATAGGGTGCATTTAAAATGTTCAGTTATAAACATTAATTTTACAGTTGTATTTTTTTCTATTTGATATATGTTTAAAATATTACATAGTTCTAAAATACTTAAAAGAATGTTAGAGCTCAGAATAGGCAGTAGATTTATGACAGATTTAAGGTCTGCCCCCATGGAATTTTTGGAGATATTAAATTTCTATGTAAAAATGACCTTGAACCCCCCCCCCCCCCCATCTCAAAGGAAACATGAACTCCTTTAAAAACAGTAAGGCCTTGAAAGAGTCATTTGCAAAAGAAAAGTAACTTGGGAAAGTGTGATCTCCAACTCCTCCCCCTCCTCCCCTTAAACCATGCACACACACACACACATATAGAAAATAGGATTTTCAGGTTTGGGCAAATTGTTTAACTTTGTGTGTGTGTTGGTCTCTTTTTTCCAAAAAAAGATTTTTTAAGTTTCATATGAACATTCATTCTTTAGAGATGACATGTTGACATCTTATGTGTTGCAAGCTTATTAGTAATATGATTCCAAAGATATTTTAAAAAGTCACTTTCCAGTATAAATTTAACTCCGATTGCATGGTATATAGGTAAATGTGATTGCAAGTCTACCATGTATACCATTTAATAGTGCAATTTGTTTACAAACATGACTCTGTTCTTGTGAGAATGAAGGAGATATATATAAAGCAAAATAAGGCTGTAATTTAAAAAAAATTGTTTGATGTACTTCGATCCACATTTTTCAAGGTGGGTAGGTAGGCATAAGTATTTTTTTTTAAAAATAATTTTCTTATACTTTGATAAACATCAGAAAAACCACAGACTTAAAAATTAACATTATAGAACCTGACAGCTAAAATATATATCCATTGCTGTAAAATATTTTAAACTAAAAAGCATCTTAGAAAATTGATAGACCTTAAATTAACTTTAAAGAATACAGATAATCTGTATTTTCACAAAAAACAAGAGGCCCATGGGCCAC